AGCCTCTGTCTCTTCCCTCCAGATGCTGTGGTGGGCCAGATGGGCTGCCCAGTGAGCACCCACCCACCTCACCTGTCGCAGGCCATGCAACAGGTCTGCTGAGGATGCTGTGCCTACCACTGACCAGCCAGGATGGAGGAGCCTGCGTGGGCTCGGTGGCTTCACTGTCACTGTGAGGGTATTTCTGCGGATAAATAAAGCAAGGATTTCCCCTGCATGGTGTTCAGCCCAGAATTGCTCCTGGACCCTGGCCACTGCCTCCCCCCACACTCTGCCCCTCTCCAGGCCTCTGCCTCTTCTTGCCAGCAGGGCAGCACCTGCCTAGGGTTCAGCCCACCCAATCCATTTCCCAGCTTGTCCCCACCTGAGGGCACTGACTCCCTCATCCCCCCTGTCTGGTCCTTTCCATGGACTTTCAGAGTGGTCTGGCCTCTAGCACCTCGCCACCCTGCTGCAGTTATCAGCCTGGTGTCTGAGGGAAAGCTGGGCCAGATGGTGTGTCCATCCACTTTACCTACAGTGTGTACCTAAGGCATTCTCCAGGACTTCTTGTCCAGACCTCTCTTTGTGGTGCTACCCACTTGTCACAAGGAAGAATGTCATCCTCTGCAGTGGCCCCAGGCTGAGGCCCCTCCATCAGCCTCAAGCCTGGGGCAGGGCTTTGCCTGGGTGAGAGTATGTGGCCAGGGCAGTAAGCAGGGTATACTGGGGCCCTGGCAGCTCGAGGGGGTCAAGTGACTCACAGGGACTTCCTGGTGAGGCTTCCCTCCTTGTGAGTCCCTGGCCTGGCAGCAGGGGTGCAGCCAGTGGTACAGCTGCACCAGGGCAGGGCACTTGAGGAGGGGGCTCCCGGGAAAGTAGTGCAGGTGGCTGCCAAGGAGCCTGGGAGGTGGCTTCTTGCACTCTCTCCATTTTCTTTGGAGTCTTCTTATTGTATTTTTTAAAAGGGGAAATTATAAACTCTTGCAGTGAGGCCAGCCCCAGCCACACCCTGCTGCCTGGGCTGGTGTTCAAGGTGAACCTAAGCAGGTGCTGCTGACCACAGAGTGCCTGGGGAGGGGGCCAGGGCCGAGTCCATCCTGCGAAGCGGAGCCCCCACCAGTGGCCAAGCCATGAATGCAGACAGTGACAGGCACTTCCCTTGCCTCACTAGCGTGGTATGGACCAGTCTTGAAATCCCAGAGCTCTGTGGCCCTCAAGGAGCCCAGACTCCCTGAAGAAAGCCGCAGCAGAGGGGGCAGACAGCCGGAGGGAGGAGACCTCCTGAGGTCCAGGCAGGTCCACCAGAGTTCCAGAGACCAACCAGAGCCCGGGGCAGAGCCACCAGGATGTCCTGGAAGCTCCTGTTTAGGACCACATCTTTGATCTCAGCAACCAGCAAAGAGAAAAGCAGGGCAGGGGCAGGTGAGGCTGAAGTTTCTTAGGCCTTCAATTCATCAAACAAGCCAGAAAAATTCAGAGATGGGAAGCCAGGCTGGAGGCCACTGTGTGCCTTCTCCGCGGGAAGCAGCTATTCCTCTCTGCTCATTCCCTTTCTCTCCATGTCTTCTGATGGAGGCTCTAACATGATTCCCACGCCACATGAAGCTAATGTTCGGAAGTGTCTTGGTCCATCTGTGCTGCTATGACAGAATGTCTGAGACTGGGTTATTTACAAAGAACAGAAAGCCATTTATGTTGTGGAGGCAGCAGAGCCGCCCCTCTCCATCTCCCTGGGGGCACTAGTCGCAGGATCCCTTCCAGGGTCTTGCCCTGCAGGGCCTCTACTCCCACACAGATCTCGCTCAGCCCTGTCCCTCTTCTGCAATCCAGCCCCAGGCATCAATGGCCTGTTGTCCTCTCACATGTCCTTGGGCGCCTCAGTCTGGGTGTGTTCAAAGCTGAACTCTGCCCCCCGGGAGTCCATAGGCAGAATCTAACCCTTTCCCTCCCCAGCTCTGGGCCACGCTCAGGCTGCCTCACCTCTTGCCTGCCCCCACCCTTCCCAGGTGGCAGTACCAGGGGATGGGTGTTGGAACCCTAGGCACCTGCAGAGCACAGCAGAGTTGGACAAAGCACTACCCGCCAGTCACCAGCAGTTGCCCCATGCCAGCTACTGGCCTTGCTAGCCCTGGGGACACGGAGAGCCAACACCACCCTTGCCAGCCAGGGAAGGCCTGCCTGATCCCCAGGAACAGAGGCAGCCACTCAGTGCATGTCTATGAGTGCTTGCTTCCCCATGTCTTGCCCTGCAGCTCCCCTCAACTCAGACTTCTTTTGGGATCCTTCTGGTCTGAGGAATGTCACTCCAACCAGGCTCCAGTCCTGGAACTTAGAGCCTAGATGTCACCTTCCATTCCGTTGTTTAGAAGTGAACACGTGGCCCTAGCTGGTCCACTCAGTGCGACACTGGGGCCCAGCGTGGATGCTTGTACTCGGCCACTTTCTGCTGAATGTGAATGATAGCGCTTGCAGCCTCAGGAGCTGCTGGAAGCATTTTAGGACCTTAGGGTGAAGATGAGACTACAGACCACAGAAACAGAGAGAAGCTTTGTTCTCAGAAATATTGTTGAGGTACTGGATCAAGTCTCACCTGAAATCCAACTTTCCTCTCAACTTTTCATCACCTAAGTCATAAATTCCCTTGGTTGTTTAAGCAGTTTGGGGTTGGGTTTCTGTCCTAACAACTGGACTCAAGAAAAATTCCCATCTCAGATAGGCATGGAGGGGCTAAGGCATGGAGGGGCTAAGGCAGGGGAGTTCGCGAGTCCTTGCTGACATGGCTGGGACCTGAGCCACCAGGCCTGCCATCTGAGGAGCTGGCCTAGCCTCAACACATTCTTAGCCACTGTGACCAAATGTAATTCAGCACAGCTGCAGACTCCCTGGAGGCTTGGATGGAAGGGTAGCGCAGGATTGTCTAGGGACAGCTGTGCTTGAATAGTGAAGCATGGCCTCCGGTCAGCGGGGCTGCACCCTCCACGTCTTCCATTTCCTTCTGTCCTGGGCCCTGGTCCTCCCTGCACAACATGCAGGCAGTGGCAGGGGTCATATGGGATGCAGTCAGCCAGGCCCCTCTCCACTCATGTCAGGGGCTGGAATGAGGCAGCCTCTGGAGGTGCTTCTCTCCACAGGCAGGTGAAACTGTTCAGGGAAGACCTGGTGGTGGAAGATGATGAACAAAGAAAAAAGCAGGCAGAGAAAAACAGGCTTCTACGGGAATGGGGTATAAAATGACCAACGCACCTCGAGGGAGTGAAAATCCACCCACGGTGGTGACTCATCCTGGCAGCATGCAGCAGAAGAGACTGTAAGACACAGGCTTTCCCACACCAGGACATTTGGTACAATGCTGTGGGAACAATTTGTTGGAATCTACCACAATTCCATAATTCACCCAGAATTTCCACACCTAGAGGTTTGTATCATAGAAGCACTCACACAATTCCAGCACGCTGAAAGGAAGAAGGAAGGAAGGAAGGCTGGAGGGAGGCCGGCCTCCATGAATGCAGGTCCAAACGGGGGCCAAGAGCTTGGCTGATACAGGCAGTGGCACTTCTGGAGAGCAGGTACATTCCTGCAGCAGGAAGATGCTCTAACCAGGAAGGAGTGTGGCTGGGGACCTTCAGAAGCTTCCAGACTGCAGCTTTCCTGGAGGTTCACTACAGTGGCAAGGCTAACCTGGGGCCCTGAAGTGGGAGCAGCCTGGCACCTTACCCATGCAATTCTGCCACCAGCCACAGGACTGTAGTAGCTCTCCAGCGCCTTGTTACGGCCTTGGCAGTTGTGCAATGTGGACACTGCAGGATAACCCTGGGTAGGCGCCTGCCCTCAGCATACCCATACTGCAAGCGCACCCCACTGGCAGTCCACCCACTAATATACCTAACAAACACAGCCAGGCCCTGTGCCCTGATTGGAGGTGCTCAGTGGTACAATCTACCCAATTTGCTAGTTTTAGAATTGGGCAAGCAAAGGGGAAAAGCTACAGTTGGATCCAATTAAGGCTGAACATTATTTTCTGAACGTGAACCACCAGACTTTCTATTTCTCCGGACTGTACACAGCACTACTTGCAGATTAGACCTCAATAACGATGTTCACTCTTGGTCACTTTGACGGCTACAAAGAGCAATGAAGGATATGTAGAATACACAGAAGGGCATGGAGTAAAGATGAAACCCCCAATCCCTTGGAATCGACCTCCAGAGACCACCACAGTGACTGCTTGCAGGAGCTATGTTCACATAGGGGTCTGATGTTCTTACTGCCTGCAGCTGCAGGGAGCCTCTCTATCTCCAGGCAGCCTCCCTGCTGGGTTGTCCAGCCTCCAGCTGTGCCCGTGCCCACCTGCCGGCTCCCCAGGCCGCCCAACTGATAGGGAAATTGGAAAATGCACAAAATAATGTGGCCTGAGAAAAGGGGAGTAAAAAGGAAAGCCATGTACTGACAGCTTTCAGAAAGCAAATGTTTTCCTGGCGCTAACTGCAGGCAGGAAGGAGGGGTCTCATCACACCAGGCGACAGCCTCTGAGGGGCACTGACCGCCCTCGGAGCGAATCCTCTCCAGATGCGGAGCACAGACTCCTGACCTCAGAGCTCAAACTCCTAAGCACTCCAACTGACTCCTCCACTGATTGATAGAAGGAAGCCCAAATTCCTGGGTGCCCAAGAAAACTGACATGCCCCCTCCACCACCGCCCAGGATGACCCATACAAGCCCTGGCCCTTCCTTCGTTCAGAGGCTCATTTTCCACCAGGAAAGTGGGTCCGTTCCCGTAGGCGGAACCCTGTCCTGAACAATGGCCGAAACGATCCGTGGCGTCGGCGTCCGGCCGAGCCTCCTGGTTCTAACACCAGCTAGGGCGCCCACCCCAGCACCGAGACCGCGCCGCGCGGGGCCGAAAGCCACGCCCACGCGCACCAGAAGAAAGGCCGTCCCCATGGCGACTGCGCGGCCGCGCTTCCGGGCTCCGGCTCGGAGACGGAAGTCCCGCCCCATCGGTCTCCCGCGAGGCCTAGCGAAGCACGACGTAGCCGGAAGCTGCTGGCGGCCGGTGGGCGACCAGCGCGGCTGTGCGGCACCGCGGCCGGGCGCGACCCCGCCGGACCCCGGCCCGATCCGGGTCCTGCCCGCCTCATCAGGTAAGCGCGCGACTGTGCGCCCGGGGCCCGCCGCGCCGTGCTTCCCGCATCCGGACCCGGACCCGCGCCCCCGGAGCGCCCTCTTCCCCAGCTCCGCCCTGCCGCCGGGCCCGGCGCAGACCCCGGGGCTCCTCGAGCCCTTTCGCGCGCCCTCCAGCCTCGGCCTCAGGAAGGCCAGCCTCCCAGCCTCCGCCTGCTTTGCCATTTTTCTCGGTCTCTGACGTGCACGCTGCGTGGGGGCTGGAGGGAAAGACGCAAGCACTGGCCCTGAAGCCTGGCTGGGTCTCCCTGGGTCTGGAGGAACTGCGTGGCTTAACCACAGGCCACCGATTCTGGGAAATAACTGCGTCTGCGGGCCCGATACGCCTGCAGGGCCTTTGACAGCGCCAAACGGGACCCTGACAGAACTGGGGCGGGGGTGTTTCTGGGACGTATCCCTGCCGAGGTCAGGGCAGCAGTACGTGCGCTTTACCAAGAAGGGCTGTTACTCTTAACCTGTATTCTTAGGGTGCCTCTGACCTAGGCTGTACCATCTGTCTCCTCCATCTCTCAGGATGGCTCCACTGAGAAAGATTCCTGTCTCCTTGTCACCCATTCCACAGCCTTGAGACTAAGCAGTGTCTTTACATGTGTGTCTCTTTTGGTCTCAGAGGGTAAGGGTGCCTCAATTCAAGGCTTGAATGTCCTGGCAAGTGGCTTAGAGGACTCAGAAAGTGCCCTTATTTACCTGAGCATTTACTGAAAAGTTAGTCCACTTAGAGACAGAGGGACCTTTTTATCATTTTAGTTTCATGTGTTAAGACTTGGACTGTTTTTCAACATAAACCATGAGCATGCTTTTGAAAGTAGGAGGTATTTGTTTCCATGTTATTAAAGTAAGCATTTCAGTTAGAGAAATAAGGCCTTCATACCCAAAACTGGTCATGTCTCTACCTTCTCTCTCTGATAGTCCTACGAATGCCCTTCTTCCTAAGTTAGAAATTTGAAGCAGCCTCACCAGTCCTGACTTCGGTTTGCCTCTGTTGAGCAAGTCAAGAGCCCCTGAGGGCCCACAGTGCAGTGGAAAGAGGCAGGTTGAGAGCACATCTGTGTGGGTCTGCACATCTGTTGCCCCTGTACACCAGCCCCACGTGGAGCCTGCATGTGGTCATTAGAAGATTGTATCCAAAGGGCTTTACAGCTGAAACCCACCAGGGGGTCTCTCCAGATGTGGGTTTCCCTGTGTCTGCCTCAGTGCTGAGGATGAATCCGTGCTTAGCATGATGAATGCATTCAGGCAGTCACTTCACAATCAGACACCACCCTGGCACAGAATTCTGAGTGGGAGGGAGCCTAGAGTGAACTTTTGGTTTCATTTCAATCAACTATAGAAAGCAGTATTTTCTAACTTCAAATTGCTTAAAAGTGGTCCTCATGAGTATTCGGAAGCAGGAGCTGATCCACTCAGAGGGTGGTGTTTTGAGGCAGAATCCCCTCCATGAAGGCCTTACTTCTGCAAACTTGAGATTAAAATGAAGTATGGAACAGGGGTCATACCAGTTGCTGCTTTTTTTTAAGCTGTATCTCACATTAAACCGTTAATTGGAATACCAGTCCAAGCCAACACTTTCAGTGCAGCGGCAGAGTGGGAAGTAGATGGCACTGAAAATGTCAGCTGTGAGCCTGTGTGTGGCCTCTGTCATATACAGCGTGCCCTGTGTTTTCCACATGTGGTGTCCTGCGAGTTAGAGGGAGCAGCACAGGTTCGTTTGAGAGGTGGATGAGAGCGATGGCACTCTCAGTTGAGGCTGGCAGGGAGGGAAGGCCTGAGGCCCAGGTCTTGCCTCCAGGCCTCCTATTTCTGGCGTGTGCAGGACCAGTGGGGTAATTTGCATCTCGTGCTGTGGTTGGCACCACTGCCTTCCTACAGCTTAGGTATTCCTGGTCATGAGTTAAATGGGCCACCAGTTGAAGTTGAACTTTGCTAAAGCTAGTAGATTTGTAAAGAAAGAAGTAGCTTTTCTCTTCAGCCTGAACCTTACTACTGTCCCCATCAGTGTCCCTGTGAGTCATGTGATGGGTTTGATACTCCATGGGCCATTGTCTTTGTCCTGCTGAGACTATACCATCTGTCACCTCCATCTCTCAGGATGGCTCCACAGAGGACCTACCCACACACCTTCCAGCAGGCTGGCCTTTTCACAGTATCAGTCAGGGACACCCTTTTGCCCATTGTCACAGGCTGGGAATCTCTCCATGCTGAGTTGCGATGTGCTGAGCACCTGGGCTCCCTGTTGTATGGCTCTTTCAAGTAGGGAAATCAGGGTTAGCAACCCTTCTGTGTGTTTTGTGAAGGCCACCCTTGGCTATGAGTTCATCATTAAAAGAGGACTTTTTTTTTTGCGGTGCTGGGGATTGAACCCAGGGCCTTGGGCATCTGAGGCAAGCACTCTACCAACTGAGCTATATCCCCAGTCTCCGAGGACTGTTTTTTAATAGACTGTGAAGTCTGAGTGTTACACAGTAGTTAAGCAGAGTGGACAGCACCAGTGATCTCAGTGTCCCTAACCACTGCGGTGGTGGCCTGGAGGCATCACAGAGTGTGAAGAGTATCCTTCATTGGATGGCCCTGCATGGCCAGCAGAGGCAGTGTTACGCCCCCCTTCACAGCCGCTCAGCAAGAGTTCTTGTGGAGTTAGCCTGAACTGTAGCATTTGAGCAGTTATTTCTTGTCTGTGAAGTAACAGCGACCCATGTGTAAGTCTGAGGTTTGTTTCCCTCCTCTGCAGCATCATGGCCAGCCCAAGAACCAGGAAAGTTCTTAAAGAAGTCAGGGCACAAGATGAGAACAACGTGAGTATATGCTGTTGGCAGCACTTTGGGTGGCTAGTGGCCCTCCTGGGTCACTTGTGGCTGTGGTTGTGCCCTTCTTGAAACAGCGGGCTGTTGGTGAAGCTGACCAGCATCATGAGGAGCCGCTGGCTGTTCCTGGTGCTCACCGTCAGCAGGGCTGTGGGGAGTGGGGCTCGGGGCTCCTGCCACATTGCCCAAGTTGTGCTCAGGACATTCTGCTTTGCCTCCATCTGAATCTTTATCATGTGGGAGGATCTTCCCCTTACATCAGTTTTCAGCTGCCTTCAGCTTCGTTCTGACCCTGTGCCCTCTGGCCACCTGGAGCAGCGCTGTTGGGCTTGCAGTGACTAGCTGTCTCATGCAGGCCTTGCACATTTACCTGCCCTCCTTTGTGCCCCCTTGGGAGCGGGTCTTTGGGGGTCCCCAGCCCTGGCCTAAGCTGCCTGGTGAGTTGCACATGGCCCCCTTTCAGGTTTGTTTTGAGTGCGGCGCATTCAACCCTCAGTGGGTCAGCGTGACCTATGGCATCTGGATCTGCCTGGAGTGCTCGGGGAGACACCGTGGGCTTGGGGTGCACCTCAGGTCAGTTCCACTCAGCCTCCACAGATCCTGCACCTAATTTAGTGTTCATGTTGGGGTGGGTGCCTGTCACCCAGAGTGCTGCCTGCCTAGGAAGCTTGGGAGCTTCTCCCCACCCTACCAGGTATGCCAGCTTGTCCAGTGCTGGCCGCCTGGCCTCTGTGTAGCTTCTTCTGGCTTCTGTCTTGCTTCAGGAAGCACCCTTGTCCAGTTCACAGCCTGACCTTGGGTGGGGAGGATCCCATATCCTTGGGTAGTTGGTGATCAGACCGGCATCTGGTTTTTAGCTTTGTGCGCTCTGTTACTATGGACAAGTGGAAGGACATCGAGCTGGAGAAGATGAAGGCTGGCGGGAATGCCAAGTTCCGGGAGTTCCTGGAGTCACAGGAGGATTACGACCCCTGCTGGTCCCTGCAGGACAAGTACAGCAGCAGAGCTGCTGCGCTCTTCAGGGATCAGGTACCGGCAGGCCCGGCTTGCATGCGCCCTGCTTTCTGGGCCGTGCCTCCGTTCGTGGCAGCTGGAGTGTGGCTCCATTGACTCCGGAGTTGGGCTTCTCCCATCAGTAGAGAACGTACCTGTTGAGGCCAAGCACAGTCCAGGTGTAGGTGAGGACTTGTGGCCCTCACCCCATCCAGAGCAGGCTCTGCTGTCCCAAGGGAAGCAGACGGTAATTAACAGGAGAAAGGGAACCATGAGCGTAATTCTTCAAGTGTGTGTTGGCCACAGTGCCTCCGAGAGAAGCCATAGAACTTGTCTTTTGGGGCCAAAAGTGGGAGCCATGAGATCCGGGCTCTGCAGCACTGTAGCTCATCACACCATGAGGCCTGGCCTTGGTGCTCACACGTAGCATACCAGCCTGAGCCACAGCTGCTGAAACCTTGGAGGGTCTGTAGAGTGTCTGCAGTAGCACAGGCCTGTGAGGTTGGACATGCTTGAGTGGGCACATACATACTCTGACATCTCATGTCCCCTCATTAGGTGGCCACGCTGGCTGAAGGCAGAGAGTGGTCTCTGGAGTCATCACCTGCCCAGAACTGGACCCCGCCTCAGCCCAAGATGCTATCATCCACTGCCCACCGGTAGGAACTACTCTGGCCTGCCAGTCAGGCCTCAGCGCTGTTCTTAGCTCCACTGTGATCTTAGCCATTATGCAGGATCCCCACAGAACCTTGCTTACCTCTGTCATGGAAATGGCTCCAACTGCCAGCTCTTCCTAAAAGTCAGTGTGAAATGCATCTTTTTAAAATTGCCAAAGTAGCACAAGCTTCTAGAAGAAATTCATTTGGTAAAGATAAGCCTGCAGACAAAAGAGCATCTCCCCTGTCTCCAGTAGGTTGCATTCTCTTCCATGGGGTCTTGTGTGGCCACATGAGCAGTGGCCTCCTGGGGGTGTGGACAATTCTGTCCACTTGAGGAGGGGTCCTGATAGCACAGGCCATTACAGGATGGCACATCCCACTACAGGAGCGTCCTGTGTGGAGGAGGAGGATGTGGGTGGCTGGGCCACGGAGGCTGCTCCCTGCAGAACCTAGGCAGAGGTCCTAGCACCCCGACAGCTGCAGTTTGTTGCCTGGCCCTGGACCCTCCCTGCCCTTGCCAGCCAGCACAGGCCACTTTTGGCCTGACTCCAGGTGTGAAGGCCCTTCTCACATGACTAGGTGGTTCCAGCTGGTGTTGCTGGAGCAACCCCGACACTGCAGGCCTCCGCATGCCACTTCATTCAGCATTGGCCATACTGACTCTTGCAGGGGGTGCCATACCTGGGATTGAACTCAGGGGCACTTGGCCACTGAGCCACATCCCCAGCCCTATTTTGTATTTTATTTAGAAACAGGGTCTCACTGAGTTGCTTAGTGCCTCGCTTTTGCTGAAGCTGGCTTTGAACTTGTGATCCTCCTGCCTCAGCCTCCCAAGCCACTGGGATTATAGGCGTGTGCCACTGCACCCAACCCTCACCAACTTTTCACTCTATTTCAGACCCTCTGGTCAGCCACAGAACGTGACAGCCTCTGCAGATAAGGCTTTTGAAGATTGGCTGAATGATGACCTCAGCTCCTGTCCAGGGTAAGACCTCTTAGGCTAGGGCATCTTAGTAGGCCACCTCTTGAGGGCTGAGTCTGAAGGGTTAGGGCTGCTTCCTTTGGGGTGGGCTAGGCCTGTGTAGGGTTGGAGCATCTGTGATGCAGGGTCTTATTGTGGCAAACCCTGGTCAGCCCAGGTTTGAATCAGGGATCATGAGGATAAAGAAAACCTAATATTTAGAAGAAAAAGATCTCTTTTTTTTTTCCCTTGGAATCTGCCTGATATGTGAATGAATTTTTAATCCCTGAGCTATCAGATTGTTGTTTTGATTCTTCTTCCTATAACCCTGGTATTGGGTTTGGGGTCTTGCTGGGGACCCTCAGCTGATGTGGCAGGAGGGCTTTTGAAGGGTGTGGCTGGTGTGCCTGTTGCTGCGAGGCACACCCTGTCCTGTATGGGAATGGCACACCCTACAAGGGCCTGAGGTCTCCGCTATCCAGGAGCAGCAAGAGCCATGCCAGCAGCTGCTGCCTGTCTGTGCTTCACCCTCAGGGCTCAGGAGAATCGCTACGTGGGGTTCGGGAACACAGTGCCGCCTCAGAAGAAGGAAGATGATTTCCTCAACCATGCTATGTCATCCTTGTACTCGGTGAGGGTCCCAGCCCTGCAGAGCACCTGCCACAGGCAGGGTGGCCCTGGCATGGCAGTGTGGGCGGGCCTGGGATGACCTGCTCTTTGTTTCATCTGATTGGAGACCCTTCTCCTTCACCTTCAGCAAAGTATTCTTTTATAAAAACATGACTTAAATTATGCAGATCCCAAATACATCTGGCAACAAAACATCTATTTCAAGGTACATTCCTTTGAAGAACCTCCATAGCTGTCCTCGCTCCAGGGAATACCCTGAGCCCTGTGCTGGCCACCTGTGTTGTGTGGGTTGGCCAGGAGGTGAGGTTCCTGGGCTGATAGTCTCGAGGCTGCGTGGGTGTTGGCAACCTGGGTGGCAGTGCTCAGCCCCCTAGTGGGTGGTCCTGCTTTCATGGCCCAGGAGCTCCAGGCCAGATATTCAGTGCACAACATCCTGGGCTTGCTGCTAGTTTTGGAAGGATACTTCACCATTCATTTTCCAAGGAAACTAGTTTTTAAAAAATTTTTTTTTCATTACACACTGGTCTGCGATTTTGATACTAATGCCCCAGGGGTAAAGCCAGAGAGGGCTGTTCTGTGGCAGGTGGTGCATCCATTCCTGGACACTGCCTGGGAAAAGATGACAGACCACATCGTTACATTAATTAAATAAGTAAGGTGCCGGGAGGGCGGGTGCCCTGTGTGAGAAGGGTCAAAACCAAGAATCTGTTGTCTGGTGTGTGCCGGGGTCACCACTGACGGGCACAGGTGGCAGGCTGTGCTCTGTGCTGTCTGCTTTTGAATCATGCACGTTTCTTTAAACAACAAATGGATTTCTCACTCAGAAGTTCTTGCAAGCTGTATCTACCCCTCCAAGGAGCACCACTGCTGGGTCTCCAGAGCCCAGCTTCAGAGGTCTGAGTCAGACCTGGCAGGTGGCCTGTCTGGGCACTGGCACTGAGGTCCTTCTCCCCTGCAGTGGCTACTGGTGCTTTCTGGGGAGGAATAGTAGATTTTAGCCTGAAGCCCGTTGTGGGTGTTTACAAAGACATACCCCTGTAGTGTGTCACTTTGTCATCTGGTTTCCCCTCTGCTGATGTCTCCCTGGGAAGACAGCCGAATGCAGCTGTCTCAGGTGTGGAGGTCTTTGCCTGCTTTCCACCTGGAGCAGGGTAAGCTGGTGTTTTTGTTTTTTTCAAGTTCTGGGGGTTGAATCAGGGTCCTCGTGCTCAGTCACTGAGCTACGTCCCCAGCCTGTAGCTGTGATTTGATGACATGTTTTTTTGTAAAGAGCTTTGATTTAGCTTGGAAGCCTTAGGAGAAAATAGCCTTGACTTACATGGAGGCCTGTGACCTCTGCCCACCCCCGTCTGCTCCTCTACAGGAGGCAGAGGGAGCAAGCAGCGTAACCGGCATGAACTGAGCACATGGGGCTTGGGGGCCCTGCCCTGTGGCAGGCCAGTTCCTGAGTCCTCTCGTGGTGACCACTTGTGATGTGTGCTGGGTGCTGAGCACTGCAGCTGGGGCAGTGGTGCCATGGAAGCAGGCACCTCATTTCCTCCCCAGAGTAGGGAATGCAGAGGTGTTTGAGGTGCCTTCCATGAGTCCTTCTCTGCAGAAACCCTTGCTGGATGGTCAGTGTGCTGTGCACAGGCTCTGAACCTGACATGTTTTTTTGTTGTTTGTTTTTCTCAGGGCTGGAGCAGTTTTACCACGGGAGCCAGCAGGTTTGCTTCTGCGGCTAAAGAGGGTGTAAGTCACCTCAGGATGCATGCTGGCCACCACTGGCCTGGAGGCCCGGGAGATAGGCTCCTGGGACCTCTAACCATGCACTGGGCCTCAGCTGAGAGCCTGGGCCCTGGCAACTGCAGATTGCCTGGGAGTCCTTACTGTAGTGGCAGGTGTCTCCTTGGCAGGGACCAGCTGCCTGCAGAAGTGAACTTGCCCTTGTGGTCCCAAGGCTCCATTCTGTCCCAGCGAGTAGGTCATGGGTGCCTGTACCCCAGATTATGCCTCCCAGTCTTCAGAGTCATACTGGATAGGTTAGGGTCTCCCTCTCGCCTCTGCTTGAAATCAGGGGAAAAGCTGGGGACTTGGGCAAGACAACAGTACTGTGTGGGAAGCATGCCAGGCCCCACAATGCCCTGGTCAGTGCTGAGGAAGGAGCAGCCTGAACTGGACAGGTACAGGGGCTCTGGGCATGGGGCTGCCCAGATAGCCATGGCTCCGAGAGGAGCAGGGACAAAGGTGGCTTTGCCCACTGATCCAGAGCAGACAGGCCAGCAGCATTCACAACTGGAGCCTCTGGATTGGCTCACTGTTGCTTTGCCACGTGGCAGTTGCTGGCTCCTGCTGGGGTCTCCACTGCTTTCCTCAAGTGGCAGCAGTTGGGGTGCTGGCCTATACATGCTGGGTCCCGAGCTGACCCTCCATCAGGGCGGATGGGGCTAAGGTAGTGGGAAGGCCCATAAAAGACAGTTTGGTTGGCTGCTGACCTGGCTTCTGTGTTGGGAGGATGGAGCCACCTTGTGGCTCGCCCAGCCTGGCGTGGCCCAGGAACATGAGGGGCTGGCCTCTCTGCAGCGCTTTTGGGTACCTTGGAGCTGCTGCTGGGTCAGTGCTGGCAGTCTAGGTAGCCATCAGGAGCTGAGGCATGATGGTTAGGGTTCAGACTGTTGACTCAGAAGACCTGTCTTTGTTTTTCCTTTCAGGCTACAAAATTTGGATCCCAAGCAAGTCAAAAGGTAAAGAGTTTTGAGGTTTAAAACACTCTGATGGGAGACTGTGCCATCACATGTACAGTCTGGAAGCTTTCTGGCCCTGTGCCTGGGTCCCGGGGATTGTGGCTCAGAGGGCCTCACGTCATCAGTGGGGTCACCTCAGTGTCTGCACAGTTCAGCTGGGGACCAGAGGCTGCCTCTGCCAGGGACTGCCCAGTGTGTGGCTGTCCCTCAGGTTGCTAGCCCAGGGCTTAGCAATGCAGCCCATGGGGGAGCTTACCCCTCATTTCTTTTATCTTCATCACCTGGCGTGGCCCCAGCAAGCCACAAGGTGCTCAGGGCTGTCCTCCACTGTGCTTTGGGCAGGATTTTAGGGTCTGCCCTTTGGCTATCACCAGGAGTCCAGTTCCCAGGAGGCCCTTCTGGCCTGCAGCACTCGCTGCCTGTGGGCACTTCCTCCTCAGAGGGGTTCTTGCTGCACACCCTTAGCTGTGCCCACCAGGATCGTGTCCTCACTTTGTCCCAGAGCCTGTGTCAGGCTTCTGAGTGTCACTCCTGAATTCTGGAATGTGGTCAGTTTGGAGCAGAAAAGTGTCCATCAAGACCCTAGCACAGGCTGGTTTGAGGCCTGGGGACACCCTCCCAGGGCCACCATCAGAACAGTTCAGCCGAGGGTGTGCCCTCTACTGCCTGGTGTGCTAAACACTGCTCCTCCCATCCGCTCTCTTCCTGCTCTCCTGTCTCCGTGCCGTCTGGGTCAAGTTTTGGGGCTACAAGCAGCAGCCTGAGCCGGTAAAGCCCCACATCTGCTGGTGCATGCCACCCACATCTGCTGGGAACCTGCTTCACTCTGCCCGCGTTTGTCCCCTGCACTGTCCCCCTGTATGCTGCGCTTCTACCTCCCTGGGCTGGAGTCAGTCCACAGCTTCCCCCCCAGGGCCAGATCCTGTGTGCTGGATGGACCTGGGGGAGTCCCAGGAAATGAGGCTTGTTGTGGTTTTCATTAGGTTCAATTAGCTCCACCCAAACCATCCCAGAAATCTCACTCTGCTAGGGAGGACCGTTCTGTGTGTGTAGTCATTCCCCTTAATGTCTTTTGTCTCTGCTTTTTCTGGCCTTGCCAGAAGGGGGAAATCATGCCACACCCCAGGCAGCTCTGTCTCCTAGAGGCCTGTCCTTCCTCAGTGGCTCTCCTCTGCTTCTGCCTGAACCTCCCTTCCTAGTGTGTCTCCAAGTATGCTCCTAGGAGAGGAGGCAGGGCCCCGCAGGCAGCCTGCCACTGCCAGCCCACTGTCCTCATGACGAAGAGTATGGGCTCGAGGAAGTTGCTCCCATGGGCAAGCAGGCTGGGGCCTAGGTAACTCCCTTCCTCAGCAGTGTCTCCTGTCTGCTGTAATCCTGCCCCATGGGTACCCTCATCTGGCTGCCTTCCTTTCTGTTAGCAGAACTTTGTTGGGCTGCGTGTTAGCCACGTGCCATGGCAAGTGCTGCCGGGCTCACGTTATGTCCTTTTCCACAGGCTTCGGAGCTAGGCCACAGCCTGAACGAGAACGTCCTCAAGCCTGCGCAGGAGAAGGTAGAGCAGCACCAAAGGCCAAGTGCTTATTATCCCACCAGACCCTCTGTTGCTAGGGGATGTGGGCATGTGCTGGGGGCTGCAGACCACCTGTTCCTGAACCTGTGAGGCCCTGCTTCCACCTGTTCCTCTGACCCAGCAGCCTCCTCCATCTCTCCCTGGGTCCCCCCTCAGCTCAGTCAGTCCTGAGCCCAACTCTTGTCTGCTTCACACCCCAGTAGCCCAGCCACAGACGTGGACGAGCCTGTCCTCAGGCTTGAGTGTCAGGGTGTGGCCAGCAGCCCACAGAGCAGCTGGGGCAGGAGACACCCCTCTGAGGAGTCCTTGTACTGATATGGTCCCAGGAAGCCGAGGTGTTGGGGTTGTCTCCTTTGTGGGACTGTATATGATAGTCATCCCCGTGACAGATCCAGGGTCTCACACTGGCAACCCGCACCCCCCTAAGTGTCTGTCCCCCCTTATGATGCCTTTTGGTCTGTGCAGGTGAAAGAGGGAAGGGTTTTTGATGATGTGTCCAGTGGGCTCTCTCAGTTGGCATCCAAGGTAGGGCAGTCCCACCTGGTATGTGGGCATGGTGAAGCCAGTCTCCATGTTCCAGGCCCTAGCATGGCCCACAGTGGGGGAAGAGGCCTGATGCGTTGTGCCTCAGGGAACCGTGAAGCGCTGGCCATCGCCTTCTGGTGCCCGAGGGCTTGCGGAACATGGAACCAGCTTGACCGATGGCATTTGGCAGCCACTGACCTATTGCTTTCCCCTTCCTGTTGCTGCCTCGGGCCTGGCCCTTGGTAAGTGCCAATGCCTACCTCGAGCTATGGCCAGCCCCATAACTTCTATAGAGGCTGTGTGGGGTGTATGTGCAGTCTTGGCGCCCAGCCTGGGGCCCTGGGCTGGGGAAGCCACTGGGGACCTTCCTTCCAGCATGATTAAGGCTGAGCTAGCCAGCAGCTTCCACTCACGTCTCCTTCCTCCTCCCAAGTGTGGGCTGTGAGCTCGTGAAGGCCACGGCTTTTCACTGTCCGCACAAGGTCCCATCTCCAACAGCAACCAGCTGGCTTAGGATGAACCGTGAGGAAGGTAGGGGATGGCGACACGTAGTGCATGCCTGTATTCCCGGTGATTCAGGAGGCTGAGGCAGGAGGATGGCAAGTTCAAGGCCAGCTGGCAATTAGAAAGACCCTGTCTAGAAAATAAATAAAAAGAGCTAGGGATGCAGTCAAGTGGAAACGCACCTCTGGGTTCAGTCCCCAGTTCTGCAGAAAGGCAGCCAGCCAGCAGCAGGTTCTGCGTGGGGCCTGGGCACTGTGTGTTGCTGTGTGCGTAGCGTGGGTGTGTGGCACCCTTATTTCTGAACTCTGTCAGGTCTTCCCAGTAGTGCACATTTGCATTTGTGTCAGAGAACCCTGGAGCCACTGTGCTATGCAGAGAAGGGCCCTGGCTAGCCTTCCTCTCTGTCTTCCAGGTCCAGGGAGTTGGCAGTAAGGGGTGGCGAGACGTCACCACCCTCTTTTCTGGGAAGGCAGAAGACCCCTCTGACAGGTAGGTATGCCATGACCCCACCCAGCATCCTGTGTCTCACAGCACTGCCCTGGCCCCACTTCTCATGGGCTTTCTGAGAGGCAATTAGCATCCTGAGCCTAGGAACCTGCCTCTGCTAGGCGCTGGGTCCACAGGGCTCTGATCTCGGTGCATCCTGATTCCCAGTGCCCCTGCTTATGGGCAGAAGCCACTTCTGTCCCTTCCCTGATTCACTGTTTGGTAAATAGCCTCCAGTTCTAGTGACTCAAAAAGTGTGGGCTCTGGCAGCAAGAGCCTGAGTCCTCTGGTGGGTTCTGTGCCCATCCCCAGAGTGGCCCTCCCCCAGCCCACTTCCCTCTGCTTTACAGTGAGAGCAACACTCCCCCCCCGCCCCCCCTGTGGGTGCTGCTGCAGCAAGCATGGCTAGGAAGTGCTTGGTGGGGCCGGCAGCCCCGTGTAGGCATAGCACTGGGCTGGGCCCACAGAGCAGTCATCCCAGCTGAGCAGCCTGGGGCCACCAACGGCTCGAGTGTGGTGTTGCCATCTCTGTTGAGTTCCTCCTTCTCTCTGTAAAGACCCCTGGAGGGCCACAGCTACCAAAACAGCCGTGGGGACACCTTCGCAAGTGGCACCATAGACCAGAGCTTCTGGGAGACCTTTGGGACCACCGAGCCCCCCAAGGCCAAATCCCCAAGCAGCGACAGCTGGACCTGCGCAGATGCCTCCACAGGGCGGAGGAGCTCGGACAGCTGGGATGTGTGGGGCTCGGGCTCCGCTTCAAACAAGAACAGCAACAGCGACGGATGGGAGAGCTGGGAGGGTGCTGGTGGTGAGGGCAGGGCCAAGGCCACCAAGAGGGCAGTGCCGTCTGTGGCAGCAGATGATGGCTGGGACAACCAGAACTGGTAGGGCCCTCAGCCCAGGTCCCAGCCCCACCAGGGCGACTGCTGTGTTTGCACTTTGCCCTCACCCTAGTTCCTCCTTCCCCTTGACCCAAGAAACAGCAGCCACAGCACAAAGGTAGTGTCTCAGGCCAGACTTGTTGGTGCTACAGGGGGGTGTACGTGTGGGATTGCGCTGTCCAAGGCCATGTGCCTGCTGTGCACGAGCCCACTGTGCACGCGCCCCTTGGGACTCCAGGACGGGGCAGCTTCTCAGGCTCATCAGACCTGGGGACCAGGTGTCTTTGAGAGCCAGGCTCACTGCTTCTGCTGGGGGCAGGCCCCAGGGCCACAGCCTTGCCCAGCACCATCAGGCTGTCCAGTCTGTGTGGAAGTGCTCTTTACCTTTAAAGAATTGAGCTGGTTCTTTTTTTTTCCCTTGAAGAAAATGCCTGGAGTTTCAGAGATGGACATGCCGAAGGCAGTGCTGGAGCTTGTACTACTGCCCAGCCCCTGGCCTGGTCCACATCTCCTGTGGCCTTTGCTCTGAAGCTCATTGTTGGGATCTCTGGCCATCCCGTCAGCCCTTTCCAGCCCCTGATTTGCCAGAAAAGCCCTCCACAGAGGCTCAGTGGGCTCTGGCCTCAGCCCTTGAACTTTCCCATCATGGAATACCCTGGACACCTCAGAAATGAGCAGAGTAGGCTGGGGTAGCAGGCTCTGCAGGTTGGTCCCTGCCTATCCTGCTGTGAGGATCCTGCTGGGGGCTGGCAAGAGGGCAGGTGAGGCTCCAGGGCCTCCCTGGAGACCCTGCTCCCAGGAACAACGCTGGCCAATGTTTTGTTGTTTGCTGTGTCCACCATGGTCAGCTCTTCCCTGTCCCAGGCACCTGGAGGATCACTACACTGGTGGCTGCACCCATGGCTCTCCCTCCTGTGTGCCCCGCCTTGCACAGTGGTACTGAGGTCTCACTGAACGCAGTGGAGCCCACCCAGGCCCTGAGCCTGTTGGACTGTGAAGCAAGTGCATCGCAAGCTCGGGGACTGGAGGCACTAGTGCCCTGCAGACAAGACCCACCGTGGGTTGCTGCTGCGTGCCTGCTGGGAGGGCCACTGGGCCTCTCCTCGCACCCCCCCACCCCTACTGACCCTCAGTTTTACCAGCAGCGCATGCACCTGTTGCTTCTTGTGTGGTTTGTGTGCAATCTGCTGTGTCCTGCCACAGCTGTGCTTGTCACAATGCTGGCAAGGCCACCAGGTCCTGGGTGTGTCCGCCTTGAGGGTTTGTAGCTATCTGGGTCTGAGATGGGCCTTCAATTTGGAGAGCCCTGCTGGGTAGGTATGTGTCTCTGTAGAGGGCCAGTCTCAGGACTTCCTGAGCCGGGTGTGTGTGTGTGTGTGTGTGTCCACCACTCATCACTGGGGGAGCAGCCTGCCTCAGCTGCCTGAGCTCTGGGCACAGCTTGCATCCCTGTCCCAAGGCCTATCCCCAGGTGGGAAGGGTGGAGTGCCCTGGTTCAGGGCCTGCAGTGTATACCAGCACTCCTTAGGAAATGGGCCATCTGCCCTGGGGTTGTTGGGAGTGGAAGATGGCACCTGCTAGCTGGTCCCCATTTAAGCTTGCTTCTAGGAAGCACTGGCCACTGCCAAGACCCCTCACAGGAGAGGACAGACTGTTTTGCTGAGTCTGATCCCTCACCAAAGGGAGTTCCATAAAGCACATGGGAGCAGGGCCCTGGTGAGCCCTAAAGGGTCGCTTCCTACATGGCTATGGGTGGATGGGAACCCCATGGAGTGTAGTCCTAGAGGGGGCAGTGAGGTTGCCGCAGACATCCCAGGCAGCAGATGTCCATGTCGTGGGCCTGTGCTGTTTGTCCCAGATGTCTACTCTCACCCTAGGCACCAGCCTGACTAGTAGATACCTCAAGGCCATTTCTTGAGTTCCTAATAGATTGGCATACTGGGCAGCCCCTCATTACACCCATTCAACTGTGTTGTCACCCCCAACCCCAACTAACCCATGCTGGCAGGGCCCAGGTGCTGCCCAGCAGGAAGAAAAACCAAGCTGAAGATGGCCTGGTAGGATTGGCTTGATGAATGAACAGGGGCAGCTGGGAGGAGGACTGGTCCTGCCCTGTTCCAACCAGCTGGCGGGAGGGTTGAGGGTCCATGGGAGCTTTTCCTGCAGGCCCTTGGGGTTACCCTACCCCCATTGGTGGGTTAGAGGAAGAGGGGTCTCTGGCATGTGACCCCAGAGCTCACCTGACTAGTAAGATCTGAAGGGCACTGGGAGCTTTGAGGGATCTCTGGGCAGGTCTGGGGATGAAAAGGCACAGGACTCCCCACATGAAGTCACATTGCTGTGAGCCAGAAGTGCCTGAGGTTGTTGGGCCATCTCTGCAGTCCCTGCTGAGGGCCTGGGGCTGTTGGGCTGACATGGAGACATGGGTGGTGTCAGTGAGGCATCAGGGAAGCAGGTTGTCCTTCTGTAGTGGGCCAGTCACTGGCCAGGCAGCTGGGGGCTGGGTGTGACTCCCAAACCTTTCCTGGGGGAGGGCAGCTATGGTTGAGCAGCCTACCCCAGCCCCCAAGATCTTGGGGACCCCACAATGGCTGTGACTACAGACATTAACCTCCCCCTGACTCTGCAGAGTATCTTCAGGGACATGGCCCAGGACAGATAGACTGAGTTCTTGTTGGGTCTGGTGGGGGATGGGGGTCCACTTAAGCACTGGTCACAGGCTGGCCTGCAGGGGAACTGTGGGCCATTGAGAGGTGCAAGGAGGGCTTCACTGGGGGCAGTGTTCACCAGACCTGTGCAGAGTGGAGGGTCCTGGGGAACACTGGATTTCAGGTTCTGGGGCACAATAGGAGGGGGGAAGGAAGTAGAGGCTGGGTGGCCTCTTCCCTGATGGCATCCTGAGAGCTGTTCCAGCCTCTGCCCTTCACATAAGCTGCCAGAGAGCCCTAACATCCAGCACCCACTAGTTCAGTGCCCAGGGCTGCATGTGGCCTTTGTCTCTAAGTGGCCTCACCTGTGAGCTTCTCTTCAGGGGCTAAGCCCTCAGGGAATGAGGAGTAAGGTGCTTACACACTTGCTATCCCTGGTAGTTTCCCTGAATGTACACTGGGGTCCTTTGTGCTGGGACCACTATCTCTCCTTGGATATGCCCCAGGCAACAGCACAGAGGAAGGTGGGGACTGGTGGTGGCAGGGCTTGAATATTGGGGGCGGGGCCTTTCATAAGCCCTGTCCTAACTGGCCACAGCAGGACCAGAATGGATCAGAAGGCCCTGGGGAGTGAGGGACGCCGTGCTTGCAGCAGGAGGAGGTCGGTGACTTGCCTGCAGTCCTCAGCTGAGTGGACAGGGGAACCACTCAGGTCTGTGAGGGTGCCCTTGACCTTTCAGGAAGATTGGGATAGGAGATGAGCTCTTAGGTGGGCAGCAGGGCCAGGGTGCAGCCTGGAGACTTGGGCTATCCTGAGTTCTCACTGACCCTTCTCACAGGGAAGGTGATACCCAGCAGAAAGGGTGGGGAGGTTTCAGACTTAGGTGGAGTTCAGGGGCTTAGGAGTGTTGGGGGCTGTCCTGCTGGATCCTTTGTGGCCAGATAGGACCCAGCCCACAGCTGCCTCTCCTCCAGGCCACTGGTGCCAGGGTCTCCTTATGTTGGTTGCTCAGTACTGGCTTGGCACCCCAGACTTGGTGCATTCCCATGAAGGGGATAAGGTCCAGGATGGGGCCGTGTGGCTAGCAGCCTTTCCACAGGCAGGGTCTTCCCTTGGGGGTGGGGGGATGTTGCTTGGTGGGGATACCCCTGAGCACAAGCTGGGAGAGGTGTGCAGTGGGTGGTCTGCTGCTCAGCTGGGTGGGGTTGGAGGGTCTGGGTCAGTCAGGACTTGGAGGAGGACCCTGGCCCCACCATGGAGGCTGTGGGCTGTGCTGTCACCTGCCCTCTGCTCAGCACAAAGAATCGGGGGCCTCATCTGTGAGCAGTGCTTTCCTCTTCCCTAAGGCTGGAGTCAGTGTGCTGGTCAGGGCCCTCATCCCAGCCAGCCAGCACGGGTCTGTCCACCAGCCCTGGGGACAGGTCGCCTCAGCTCGCATGTCCCAGACCAGGTTGTTTTTGTGCCCTGGCCCCTCCCTGCCCCTGTAGCAGTCCCTAGGTCACCCTGGCCTTCTCAACTGTCAGCCCTCTGGGTACCCTGTCTGACTTTGGTTCCCAGGCCCCCCACATTCACACAGCCCTGGCAAGTGCTGTCCCAGAAGCACCTGCTGCTATTCTCGTTCACCTCCTAATGTCTCAGATACCCTTTCTGCTTTGAGGCTGGGCCTGGCAGAGACCCTCCATGTGTCCAATGATCAGACGATGTCCCCAGCCTGAGGACCCCCATGAGCAGCAGTCCATAACCACTATAAGTTTGGGGCGAGGGGCAGCTGGGGGTTCAAGGTCCTGTTGTCACTCAGTTGTCTAGCTGTGTGCATCCACTGTGGGTGTGAACACCAGGAGCAGGATGGGAAGGCCCCCAGTGCAGCCTCAGCTTTGGGTGGCAGCAGGGAACAGCATCCAAAGGTCACCAGCCTCTGGGCCCCCAGAAGGGTTTGTGGGACTTGTCTGCGTGGCTCACAGAGGCACGGAGGACAAATTCTGGCTGTGTGGTCAGTGGGGACTGATGGGTGGGTGGAGGTGAAGAGTCAAAGCTTCTCCTCCCACAGGCTGTGCACCATGAGCCCCCGAGCCCGCCTCCACATCTGCCTCTGGCTGTGGCTGGGTACCACCTTGGCACATGGGCTGGGACAAGGTAAGGGGGTCCTGGGGACAGTCCCCACCCCTGCAGGACAAGTCCTCTGTGGTGAGCTCTTGGCTTCCTTCCAGCGAGTGTTGTCAGAGTCAAGGCTGCTCAGTTAAGAGGCAGTGACGGCAGAGCAGGCAGGCGGAGGGGACTCACTCCCGTGAGTCTCACCTCAGCGTCACAGTGGCCTGCAGTCTCCCCCGGCCTTGGGGTGCTTTTGTGTTTTGTGTTTCTCTTTTCATTCCCTCCTCTCTGCAGTTGTTCATTCTCTGTCACATTCCTGTTTTGCTTAGCTATGTCGTGACTGCCTTTCAGCATGGTTTCCAGACAGCACACATCTTGATAAGGGGCCCCTGCCTCTCCTGCACTGTCCTCTGAGGTCTCTGGGTGGGGCAGGGACACCTCCACTTGGCCCTTGCCACCTATCTGCTGTCAGCTTCTCAGTGTTGACTCCCTGGGGAACAGCACACGGGCCTGGGGAAGGTGTATGCTGGAGGTGCCTCCCTGGGAAAAGTCCTGGCCCAGTGGGTTTTTGGAGGCGAGTTTCTGTCAACAGAACCACTGTAACTCAGTTCATGCCGGGACCTTGCTTCCCTGGCGGGGTGGAAGTAACCCTCTGTGGCAGTCCAGGCTCTACAAACTGCTGTTCTCATTCTTGGTGGCCCCTTGTCCCTGTCTGCATCTGCAGGTTCTGGGTCAACCTCAACATCTGGCCCCGCTTCCCACACGCCCACCATGGAGCCATGGGGCAACTCGAACCCAGGTCTGGTCTGGGGCCTTGCCGGTTTCTGGTTTCCCAGCCAGTACTCTCTGGTGGGGAGGCACCTGGACTGACCTTAGCTCCTCCTGCTCAGAATAACCCAAAGAGATAAATCTTGGACAGGGACCATGATTTCAGTTAGAAAGGAGCCTCCCTTGTCAGTTCGAGCCAAGTCACAAAGCAGTTCTACCAAGACAATGTGCTCAGGTGAAGGCAGGGACGTCACCCTGTCTAGTGCAGGTTCTCCCAGGGTGGAAGCTTGGGCAGGCCCCCAACATGTCAGAGGCAGAGTGGAGGAACAAAAGATTCTTCATGGGCAAGAGTGGGGCTCTGCCCACAGCTGGTGCTTCAGAGCCCCCTCCTCATCCCCACACATCCTGCCTTTCAGCAGGAGGCTTCCCGGGCATCCAGGACCCTTTGGACCCATCTAGAGACCAGCTCAGCTGCTTCCTGTTCTGAATGGGTTATTGTGTCTGCTGGGTGTCCCCTGCCTGGCCCATGCACTCCAGTTCCCAGTGTGGCAGCCAGAAGAGGCCCATCTCTGTCCCCAGTTTCCAAAAATAGCTGCTCACTCCCTAGAGCCCAGAAGTTCCCTGGGAGGTCAGTTCCGGCCCACACTGCCCCTCTTGTTCCCACCAGTCATGGGCACCCCTCTTGCCCAGCAGGAGTCATTCTCTAGCATGGGGCTGAGGCTGCACGTGCGTGTGCATGCACAGACACACACCACTGTGCACACACGCAGCCATCATGTGCACACATCTGGGTGGGGACTCTGCACCCAGAGTGCCCCCAAGGAATGAGTCAACCTGGTAGTGACCTTGACAACTCTAGGGAGTCTGCAGGCACAGCTGCTTCTCCTGAGACTGATTGGCAACTGGGAAACCCCAGGCTGCCACAATGCCCTGGGGGCTGGCACCTCTGTCACCAAGCGGTTGCTGCCCTCCTCGGCACAACCTCAGGGGTCAGAGGCACCCCAGGGCAGGATTTGATTTCCTCTCACAGAAGCTGCCAGTGCAGTCCTGTTGCTGAGGACCACAGGAGGGCTGGTTCTCAGCCCTCTGGGCAGGCATTTCCCTGTGAGCTCCCCAGGAGACAAGGCCTCAGATGCCCAGGGTACACCGTGTCCCTCCAGAACCCCCAAGATGGGACAGTGCCCTTCAGATCTCAAGGCAGGTCCTCCTCACTCTCCTCACAGCTGGGCACAGTGGAGGAGGAGGTTGGCTGGGCACTGGTGTCAGTCCTGACCTCCCCCTCCTGTCTCCGCAGTGAGCGGCCACCTAAGGCTAACTGTGCTGCCTGAGGACCGGCTGCAAATGAAGTGGAGAGAGTCAGTGGGGAGTGGCCTGGGCTACCTGGTGCAGGTGAAGCCCATGGCAGGTAAGGGGTCTGTACCTCTCTCCTCCTTGATTCTTTCCCTGTGTTGGGGTGTCAGCATGGTGGTCACTGTCTCGTGCAGGCCAGCAGCTCCCCTCCTCCATTCTTGAGCCTCACCCCTGTATGATGGGCCATGACCCCCAATGCAGTCCCTATGGTTTCTGTGTTCTTTTCCTCTCTCTCTTGAGGACACGTACACCTCTGTGTCCCATCCGCATCCTTGGCACACAGCACACGGAAGGTGCTCAGAATATACATACTGAGCAAGGACTATTTCCTCAAAATGAGCCTCGGGGCCTTCAGGGGCTTTCAGAATGGCCTGGACTCTGCATGCCAACAAGTATGTGGGTTGAATAAGGGCAGAGTGCCTGGCCCAAGTGTCCACTCTAGTGATAGAGCTAGGACCACGATGATGCCTACAGGGCCAGTGCAGGCTCAGACCACAGGATACCCAGCCCAACAACCCTTAGGTTAGTGTTCTTCATCCTCATTTCTATATTGCTGAGTTGATTTGCAGATATCTTGCTTAAAGGGTTTTTTGGTTTTTTTTCAGTATTAGGGATTGAACTTAGGGGTGCTCTACCACTGAGCTGCAACCCTATCCCTTTTAATTTTTTATTTTGAAACAAGGTCTTACTAATTTACTGAGACTAGCCTAGAACTTGGATCCATCGGCTTCAGCTGCTGGGATGAGTGTACCACTGTGCCCAGCTTGCAGCTACATTTTGATATGTAAAATTATCATTATTCAATTTAAGATATCTACTAATTTTTATTGTGACGATTTTATTTGACCCATAAGGTACTTAAAAGTAAATTTCTTGGTTTTAAAACAGGAGGGATTTTCTATCTACATTTGTTCTGAATTTCTTAATTGTGTGTGGTTAGACATGCTTGATGTGATTTTAATGTGTTGGAAGGTACCTTGTCCTATGGCCCCCGTGTGGTCAATTTTGGTTAATGTCCCATTTGACTTTGAAAGTACATGCAGTTCGCAGTTGCTGGGTAACACTTTCCAGTGCTCACATTAAGCCCATCTATTTATTTCATGTTTCAAGCTTCTTGTGTCATTACTGATTTTGTGTCCATTTATCTGGTTCGTCAGTGAGAAGCGTTTTGCGTCTCCACTGTGGCCGTGGACATGTCCCCCACAGGTCTTGTTTCACATGCAGAGGCCTGGTCTGGTGCAACATGACCAGGACCCACACATCTCCTGGCAGACAGGACCTGTCCACTGTGAAGGGCCCCTTATGGAGCTGTGTTTCACCCTATTCCTGCTTTTGTCTGTCAGTCTGCTGCAGCAGGCGGTGTTCACATTAAGGATCCTTTCTAGTTCTTTCACTCTTGACCTCTCTTCTAAGTGGCATACGTAGGGCATTATCTTCATCCAGTGCAACAATTTTTGCCTTTTAATTGATAAAATTTAACCATTTATGTTTAGTGAAATTAATTCCTCTTTGTTTCCTTTTTGTTATTCTCATTGTCAATTTTATTCTCCTTTCTTGACTTCTGAGCTGATATTTTCATGGAAAAATCTGAACACATAAGGAAGTGTAGCACAATGAAGCCCCTATTCTGAGACTCAGCTTCCAGTTAGCAACATGCAGCCACTGTCACTTCACTTCACTTCACCCCTCAACTCCCTCCATACACTGGTATCTTAAAGTAAATCCTAGATGTCATGTAATTTTGTCTCTCAAAATTTCAGTATGTCCTGTAAAAGAACAGGCTTGAAAACAGCCCACTACCCTTCAAATGACCCCACTGTATTACTGCTTCAGAATTGTTAAACATTTAGTTTGTTTGAATTTTCTAACCTAATTTTCTAGCCTTTACAGTTGACTTGTCTAAATTGGGACCCCTAAGAATCCACACATCTTGTTGGGCTCCTACGTCTCAAGTAACTTCTCATCTGCATAGTTCACCTCTTGCTCTTTCCTTGACACTTATTTGTAGAAGAAACAAGATGCGGGGTTCTTGTTCTGCAGAGGCGTCCCTGTAATGCTGTCTCCTGTGGCCTGGAAGTTGGTCCCTAGATCACAGTCTGAGAACATTTGCTGACAAGAGTCTTTGGCGGTAGTGCTGGGCCACCAACAATGGCTGCTGACTGTGTGTGTGTGAAGTTAAGATTAGTCAATAGGGGTGGGACGTGGACAGGTGTCCCCTCAGCCTAGAAGTTACCTGTTAATTTACCCTGCTGATGGCCACCTGGGAAACCTCAGCCATTATGTCCACTGCAGCTGTGGCCTTTCTCCAGGGGTGCGAGAGCCTCAGAGCAGCACTCCCATGCACCCTCCACACCCCGTAGCTCTGTACCTATGTCAGATCTCAGGCATCCCAGTTGTAGGCTGTTGCACACTGCTGCTGGTGGGCTTGTGTCCAGTCCCTTTCTGCTGTGACAGCATATGTAGACAATGGGAGCTTATGTGGCTCATGGCCCTGGAGGTTAGGAGCCCAAGAACATGGTGTGGTCATCTGGAGGGCCTGGCGCTACCATGACATGGTGGAGGGGACAAGAATGAAAGGAAACATTACTGGTTAAATCTTCCCACTTATCAGGAAACCACTTCCACAAAATAGGCAGTGCCCTGTGACACTTACCACGGCAATCAAATGTCACATGAGGTTAAGGGCGCTGTACCATCACAGGTCAAGGGTGTGCATTCCTGGGTTTAAGTCATGTTCTGCACTGAGTAGCTGTGGCGGTCCCTGTTGCCTTAGATCCCCCTCTGCAAGATGGGCGTGGTGAGGTTGTGAGGCCCCCACGATTTGATCCCCCTGAAGTGCTTGGGCTGGGGCCAGGAACACAGCAAGTGTTCAATAAAGGCTAGTGGCTGACAGCGGGAACCTGCCCCCTTTGTTTCTGCATACCCTCACACCTCATGCCACCGTGACACTCAGCCAAGAGTGAGCCTGGTGTCCTCGTGTCCTCACTGCGTCCTTCCCCAGGTGTGTGTGGCCCCCTTCTCCTCCTCCCGTCCTGGCACTGGGGCCAGAGGCTCTGTGCGCTTCTGCAGGCTGGATGCCATCTCCCAGCCTGCCCTGGCCATGCGTTCTGGCTCTGCCCTTTGAGGGGGGACAGAGTCCTCTTGGGTCCCGCCTTTGTTTTCCATGTTTGATTGCAGCTGTCCTCAGAAGAGGGGCCTCAGAGCAGGGCATATGACATTCGTCCCAGGACGGCTTCCTCAGGTTCTCTCCACTGCCACAGAGGGCTTCACACCGGAGGAAGTCCGTCCTGTCACACCCACACCTTCCTCTCTCCCCTGGCCTCCAGGGAGGAACTGGGGGGCGGCCTGGAGGCTTCTTGTCCCACGTGCACACAGGTGTGCAATTGCACATGCATTTAAGCACACACATGCACACCCACCTTGGTGGTCTCAACGGCTCTCCCACTCCCACTGCAGGGGACTCGGAGCAGGAAGTGATGTTGACTACCAAGATCCCCAAGGCCACTGTTGGGGGCCTGAGCCCCTCCAAGGGCTACACCTTGCAGATCTTCAAGCTCACTGGCTCTGGGCCTGTCCTGCTGGTACGGAGGGAGTTTGTGAGTAAGTCCACCGTCCTGCCCTGGATCCCAGTCTGGGGTGGACATGGATGCCAGGGTTCTGGGCTGAGAGGTGGGACCTGGGTTGGTACCCTGGCTCACTCCATGAGGTGCCTCTGGGTCTTGATTCCTGCTCCTGATGTCTCTGCCCAGCCCCGGGGTCAGAGGGTGGTTTGTGGAGCCCACAGTGTGCTCTCCTGGGAAGAGTGTGTGTGCAGGCCCTCAGCTCTCGGCCTCAAGGGTGGTGTCCTGACAGCCCCTCATCTCTCTGCAGTTGAAGACCTGAAGAGTAACTCCCTGGGCAAGAGCAGCCAGAGGCCACCAGGGGCAGCTCTGGAGCCCACCCCTTCCCACAGGGGAGCCCCAGATCCTGAGCAGGTCTCTGACTCCAGAGTCACCTTCACCCCAAGCCAAGACCCTCCCATTCTCGGTGTGTCAAAGTGGAGTGAGAGTGAGCTGCTGGGGAGGAAGGGAGCAACCTGGGGCATCTCCTGTTTCTCACCATGTAGCCAGGAAGTTCTTCCCTATGTCTGACAGAGCACTCTTCAGCTTTAACTTCAGCTTGTCTGTCGTGCTCCTAGCTTCTCTCAAACCCAGGCACTGGGGGCAGAGGTAGCAGATCCCTCGGGAGCCCCCTGGTCTGGGAGGTGAAGGTGGCAGCTGACTCTCCACCCCCAGGAATACCCAGTGTGGGTCAGCAGCAGCTTGAGCAGCACTGGTCCTGGGGCCCTGTGGCGCAGGATCCTGCTCAACAGCCCCCAGACCTGGAGAGGCAGAGCCACTCTGTGGCCCCGGCCAGAAGGAGAGAGAAGCTGGGTAAGTGGGTGCTCTGTGGCATGGTGCAGGGCCGGATGGTCGGGTTGCCTCCAGGCTTGACCTGTCGATGGGTTCCTCAGAGGGAGGGGCTGCCCCTGCCCCTGGGCTTGGAGCTGAGGGAAGGGCTCTGTCACCCTTGGCACCACCCCTCTCAAGGGAGTTCTTGTGTCCAGGGCCCTGTGCCTCCACTGTGTGTTCCAGTGACTTGGGGCCTGTCGGACTACACTCCACCCACCAGGGCCCTAAGGGCGGAGTTTTGCCTCCCGCTTCAGACTGTGGTCTGATCCCCAGGGGTGGAGCACATCAACTATGCTGGGGGCCTCGTCCCTGGAGTCTGCTTGGCTCGGGGGCCCAGCCTGCCTGGCATGGTCCCTGCACAACTGTCAGGGAAACCACACAGGGGTTCCTTGTCTCCATGGAGCTATGGGGCCTCCGGACAAGCCCCAGCTGGCCTCCTCTGGGCAGCAGCAGCACTGCCTCATTCTCAGGTGGCTGTGCCTGAGCTGTCTGTGGACTGACCCCCTCACCCCTCAGCAACCCATGGGCATCTGGGCCTGGGCAGATGCAGACATCTCGGCTGCAGGGAGGCAGGGTGCGTGGACACTAGTGGAGGGCAGAAGCAGCCCCCAGAGCTAAGGCTACCATCAGCTCTCCTTCTGGAGGGTTTAGAGGGGCTGAGAGCACTGACCAGCGTGTCCATGGGATTTTCTGTTCAGCAATCCTCCAAGCCCTTGTCCCCTCAAGACCCAGCCAACCTCAGGGAAGGTGGTTCTGGGTCTGCAGCCAGACCAAGAGCAGCTCAGGGGCCTCACCCAGCATCTCACCCCCTCCTGCCCCAGCTGGCCCTGAGTTCCGCTGCACTCCCCCCACACCCACTGACATGGTCTTCCTGGTGGACGGGTCCTGGAGTATTGGCCGTGGCCACTTCCAGCACGTCAAGAACTTCCTGGCCAGTGTCATCTCACCCTTTGAGATTGGGCCCGATAAAGTCCAAGTTGGTGGGTACTACCCTTCAGCCTGCCCCGGGGTCAGCCCTCACAAGGCCTTTCCAGTTGAGGGAAGCCCTGGCCTTCCAGGTTTGCCCACAGCCAGGCGGAGGCTCCCTGCTGGCTGAAGTCCAAGGTCTGTGGGGTCATGCAGCCCACTCCCTGTGCCAAGCCCCCTGCTCCTACTGGGGCTGCTAACCTCGTCTGCGGGATAGGCTGCCCCCAGCAGGCCAATCTGGGCCCTGCAAAACTGTATCCCTGGGGGACCCCAGGAGGCTGTGTGCAGAGCCGGCAACCTCAGGATGGGTCCTGGCCTGCATGGTCTGACCCAAAACAGCCCAACAGTCCCCTCCCTGCAGGCCTGACTCAATACAGTGGAGACCCCCAGACCGAGTGGGACCTGAACTCCTTCCGCAGCAGTGGGGAGGTGCTGGCAGCTGTGCATGGCCTCCGCTACAAGGGAGGGAACACGTTCACAGGTACCACCTGGCCCCACATCTACTGGGTGGACCCTGAACCCTTGCTTGCCCTGTTGGTCCACCTCACACCCTGAAAACTTGTGAGAAGCTGGGGAAATACCTTCATGAAGGGCAGAAGCACTCTTTGTTTGTCTTTGGCAAAAACGTGGGCCTCTCTCCCACATCTTGCTGAAAGTGAGTGGCCCCTCTGACCTCACAGTTACTGCGGCACCCCTGCATGTGTCTAGCTGGACTTGGGCGCTGCCGTGCTGACCATGAATGCCCTCCTGAAGAAGAGGAGCCTCCTGCTCCTGGGTGCCTCAGCCTGGTGGGGTTAGACTGCTGGGGCGGGGGATGAACTGAGAGCCTAGGAACAGCCAAGGCCAAGAGGCACCCGAGAGCCACTGACAGCCGGTAGCACCTGCCGTTTATTCCTACTGCTCCCAAGGCCTCGCCCTGACCCATGTGCTGGGGCAGAACCTGAAACCTTCAGCCGGTCTCCGTCCAGAGGCAGCCAAAGTGGTGATTCTCGTGACGGACGGCAAGTCCCAGGATGATGTGCACACTGCTGCCCGCGTCCTCAAGGACCTGGACGTTGACGTCTTCGCTGTGGGTGAGCCCTGTGCGGCCTGGGCTGGAGTTCTCTCATAGCTAGAAGGCTCTGGAGAGCAGATGAGTCTGCACCCTGGCTTTACCCTCATGGCTGTGGAACCGGGTGGGCCTGGCCTCTGGGCCTCAGCTTCCACTGCTGTGGTGCCCAGGCAGTAAATCCCTGCTCTGGGGTGTACACTGGAGCCAGCACCTGCACACTTGGGCACTGCCAACACCCTACTAGGTTTTGTGCCGTGTTCACTGAGCAGCCTGCAAGCCCATCCTTCACCTGGCCAGCACCTCTGTGCCTGGTGACCTACCCACCTCCTGCCCTGGCTGCCACCAGGAGGGTCATGCCTCTGCACTGCCTGATACTCAACCCTGTCCTATGGGGAAGAAACTGTAGACTTGGGGGTCCTCCTGGGAACCCCTAGTCTCTCACTCATATGCACTCCACCCAGCACCTATGTGGTCTGACCATCTGCCCAGCTCCAGGGCCCACCAGGCATGGGCTCAGGGTGAGGTTCAGCCTGGCCTTGGTCCTGTCTCTCACTGGGGCCCCCTGGGGTCCTAGGCATGTGGCCCCTCTGTAGTTCCATCAAGCTGGACGAGGAGCCAGCCAGGTGGCAACCTGCTCCCTTTGCCCCCGAGCAGGTGTGAAGAATGCTGATGAGGCAGAACTGAAGGTCCTGGCATCCCAGCCCCTGGACATCACTGTGCACAATGTGCTGGACTTCCCCCAGCTGGCCACCCTGGCTGGCCTGCTCAGCCGCCTCATTTGCCAGAAGGTGCAAGGCAGGAGCCTGAGCAGGGCCCCAGGTGAGGGGGTGGGGCCCTTCCAGGCCCTGCCAGCTGCTGTGGGCAGAGGGCCAGGAGGCCATGCTCCCACATGGTGCACCACAGCCTTGAGGGGCCTGAGCCCCCACTTGGGGCATCTGTTGTGGAGGGCCTGGGGGAGTGATCCTCCTGTCCCTCTTCAGTAGCCACCAGGGAAGCAGACAGAGCTGGCCACTTGGGCCCTGACCACCACCCTGCCCACCCACAGTCACTCCAGAAGATGCTCCGGCCCTGGAACCCCTCCCGGGGCCCAGCAGCCTGGTCCTGACCCAGATCACCTCCTCCAGCGTCCACGTGTCCTGGACTCCAGCCCCCCAGCTGCCCCTTGAGTATCTGATCGTGTGGCAGTCGTCCAGGGGTGGCACCCCCCAAGAGGTGAGAGGGATCCTGGCCTCCCCCAGCCACGCGGAGCAGGGCAGCTGACGGGGCTCACGAGCCTCGGCTCAGGCAGGAATCTGATAAGGCTGAGCTGGAGTCAAGGCGGGAGCGGCCACTGCCTCCCCGGGCTTGGGAGCCGAGACAGGCTGGCCCTGCTCATGTGCACCTCAGCGGAAGCCGTGAGCAGGGCCATCGGGGGTGGCTGAGGACCCAGGGGTGTGGCTTTGACTGGCAGGGGAGGGGTTAAGTGATTGTCTTCTGCCCATGCTCCCTCAGAGCAGGCTGCTGCTCTGCTCCGGGCTGGGAACCCTGATTTGCAGGAAGGGAGACGCAGTTTTCCTGTCCCTCGGTGCCCCATGCCGCCCAGTTCTGCTCTGTTTCAGCTGGTGGTCGGAGGGCCCGCCTCATCTGTGCAGCTTTGCAACCTGACCTCCAGCTCCGAGTACCTGGTCTCTGTGCTCCCTGTCTACAAGGACAGGGTTGGCAAGGGCCTGCAGGGTCTGGTGACTACAGGTAGGTGGGGTGCATGTGGCCCCTTCTCTCCCTTTGGGGTTTGGCACCAGCAGGGAGGTGCGGTCGGCAAACCTGGGTCAGAACCATCCCTACAAGTCTCAGTCCCTGGGCCCCTCTACCCTGGTGAACACCAGGAGAGTCGTTCATTCTGTTGCCACACCTCAGCCATTGCTACCCTGCTCACATTGTCCTCAGAGCCCCCACCCTGCCTGGCCACAGCACATGGCTAAGGTCACTAATTAGCAGCTCCAGCCCCCTCCAAAGGATTGCCAGGAGTGCCCCTTTAACAGTTCTACTGACAGAGGAGCCACATGCCACCAAAGTACCCAGTTACAGTGGATGGTGCAGGGGCTGTCAGTGATCCAGAGATGGGCTGCTGTCACCACAGCTTCCCTCCCCATCTGCTCAGCCCCTTGCGCAGCCCTGCACCCTCTCTCTGCTCTGTGTCCTGTCATTCAGAGAAACAGCACCACACCACATACCCTGTGGCCTTTGGGAAGCCCCTGAAGACTCTGGAGGCTGCACCCCCCTACCTTGGGGCAGATGGCCTTAGACCTGTGGGGAGGTCCAGCTCCCCAACAGCCACGAGCCCCAAAACTTGGCCTCAGTGAAGTTTGGAAAAGTGCTTAGACTCCTGGGCCCCACGATGTTGCCTACGAGGAACACCTAAAATTGGACTTAGAGAAATCATTTTGTGGTTAGAGGAGGGCCCCCTTGTCAGTGGGCATGATTTATGCACATGCCATGTTCCCAAAGTGCCCCTGACAGTCGCCTTTCCCCAGCACCCCTGCCTCCACCGCGGGCACTGACCCTGGTGACAGCAACACCCAGGACGCTCCGCCTGGCCTGGCAGTCCTCTGCCGGGGCCACCCAGTACCTGGTTCGATGCTTATCAGCCTCCCCAGGGGGCAAGGAGGAAAAGAAGGAGGTGCGCCTGGGGGCAGGGGAGGAGAAAGGTGGGGGAGCATCGGGGGCAGGGCTGGGCACAGGGACAGCGTGTTCCCTTCCCCAGGTGCAGGTAGGGCGGCCTGAGGTGCTGCTGGACGGCCTGGAACCAGGCAGAGACTACCAGATCTTGGTGCAGAGCCTGCGAGGGCCAGAGGCCAGCGAGGCCCGGAGCATCCACATCAGGACCCGTGAGTGTCCCCTCTGGTTCCAGAGGCTTCCATGGTAGGAGCCCCAGACCTCTCTGTCCTCTCCCATCCTCATCTCAGGCACGGGGCGAGGGTGGCATGCCATCCCCTGAAGCCTGGATGTGCTCTGCAGCTGCCCTGGCCCCACCAAGGCACCTGGGCTTCTCAGACGTGAGCCACGACTCAGCCCGTGTGTCCTGGGAGGGCACCCAGAGGCCCATGCGCTTGGTCAGGGTCAGCTACATCTCCAGTGATGGTGGTCACTCAGGGCAGGTGAGAGGACCTGCCTGGGGCTCAAATGCGGTGAGAGCTGCTGAGGGACCAGGGTGCACGTGCAGACCGTGGGGGGGCCCAGAACCCTCAGCCCCACCATGTAGTCTCCCAGGCCTCTCCCTGCTTGGCGTGTCGCGCCCACGACTGCCCCGTCCCCCACACCTGACCTGGGGGCTCATGTCTTTAGCCCCACCTTGGCCACTGAGGGACTCCAGTGGGATCTGGAGGGACATGAGGTAGAGAATCAATACAGGTACATGCAGTGACACCGTGGAGCAGCTGTAGGTGCCCCCACTTCAGGGTCTATGGGGGGCTTCCTGGGTCTCTGGTCCACCCCATTTTCTGCATTTTTGGGGCCACAGAGTAGTGGTGGCTGCAGGTCCCAGGCCTGGATCTCTGCCCTGAGAGGGGCTCTGGGTGCCCACTGGGTCTGCCCATGCCCCCTACAGACAGAGGCTCCTGGGAATGCTACATGGGCTGCTCTAGGACCCCTCTTCTCCTCTACCACCTACACTGTTCGTATCACCTGCCTCTACCTTGGGGGAGGCTCCTCCACGCTGACTGGCCGTGTGACCACAAGTGAGTATCGGGAGGTCAGGTCTGGGGCCAAGAGATGGATGGGCTGATCCTGCTCTACTGGACCATTTAAATCAACACACGTCCACTGAGCATCTCCTCTGGGCCAGAGCTGAGCCAGGTGGGGCAAGTGGCTGGAGAGGTGTGAGGGGAGGGTACAGTGGCCTGGGACTCAGGGATACTCCTCTGTGTGTCCCTCTTGGCTCCTGGCCAGCACTCTAAGCCCAGCTGCTGCCTCACCTTCCAGGGAAAGCCCCCAGCCCGAGCCAGCTGTCGGTGACAGAGCTGCCAGGGGATGCAGTCAGGCTGGTGTGGGCAGCGGCAGCCTCATCGGGCGTACTGGTCTACCAGATCAAGTGGACACCCCTGGGAGACGGGCAGGCCCATGAGGTGCGGTAGGGAGGGCAGGCTGGCTGTTCAGAGGAGACCCTCCCACCCCAGGTGCTGAGGCCAAGCGGGGGCTTGGGCCCTATGTGCCCACCCCAGTTCTGCATCCTGGGGACACCTCTCTGCCCGGGGCCTGGGATCCAGACCCCCAGCGTGAGGTTCCCCATGAGCCGGTGAACACCTAGACTCTCATCTCTCCAGATCTCTGTCCCAGGAACCCTGAGCACAGCTGTCCTGCCTGACCTGGGGAAGCACACAGAGTATGAGATCACCATCCTGGCCTACTACAGGGACGGGGCCCGCAGTGACCCTGTGTCCCTCCGCTACTCCCCCTGTAGGTAGTCCTCTCTCCATTTTTCTAGATTGGGGCAGGACCAACCCAAAGGAGAACCCAGACTCCCCTGAGACTTCAGACCCCAAACCACTGGCAGGCAGAGTCTAAAAGTCCCTGACCTCTGGGCCTGAATGCTGGCAGTTGTGGGGCTTCAGTGAGCTCCTGTGGAGGACAGGTGTTCCAGAGTTGACCAAGGGTCCACATCACCAGGCATGGGTGATAGCTCTGTGCTGGGACAGCAGGACCTGCTGTGGGGGGCTGATGTCTGAGTGCCGCACTGGGAAGCCTAGGGCGGCACTGGGGGTGTGGGGTGGCAAGGGGGCGTGGTGTGTCACTGGGGGCATGGTGCGGCGATGGGGGCGTGGTGCAGCGATGGGGGCATGGTGCAGGTTGGGAAGCAGAGTGCCCAGTTCAGCACAGGTTAGGTCCCCTGCCTGCAGAGTGGCCCCTTGTGGAGGGCCCTGAGCCCCACACTGCCTCTGCTGTTGCTAGCTGCAGCAAGAAGAAGTCCCCCCTCCAGCCTGGCTCTGTCCTCGGAGACTCCCAACAGCCTTCGGGTCAGCTGGACACCCCCAAGTGGCCATGTTCTCCACTACCGGCTCACCTACACGCCTGCCACAGGCTCCAGACCTGATCAATCAGTAAGTCTGTGGAGAGCAGCAGCCACCCAATGAGGGACCTTCTAGGGTGGGGGAGGTCAGTGGGTGAAATGTGGCCCACCCTGTGTGCTGAGGGTGGCCTCAGACAGAAAAAAGCCAAGCCTCATAGTGAGCTCCTCCAGGAGGAGCCCACTTAGGTGACTCCTGCCCCTCAGATCTCTGTGCCAGGGCCCAGGAACCACACCGTGCTCTCTGACTTGCTAGCTGCCACCAAGTACAAGGTCCTGGTCTCAGCTGTCTATGGAGCAGGGGAGAGTGTGGCAGTGTCTGCCATGGGCTGGACAGGTAAGTGGGCACCAAGACCCCAGACCCAGACAGACCCAGATCTAGCCAGACGCCAGAAGGGAGATGGAGGTGACCTTGAGAAGCCATCTCATTCTAAAATGATGACCTGATTCAGGTTAGAGCACAACAATCAGAACGGAGCTCTGCAGGTCTTGCAGTCAGCACTCCCACTCTGGCCTCAGCTGCTGGTGCCGTCAGGACTGGCTGGTACTGGGGTGTCTGGGATGTGAAGGGGCAGAGTGAGCGGGATGCTGAGCACAGACATGAAGGAGGCCAGTTACATGAAAGAGCAGCCCGGGAGTCAGGGCTGACCTTGCCTTGAAGCATTTAGGACATGGACATGTCTCCACCGGGCCTGGAACCCCCCAAGAGCATGGCCAGGACCTAGCCAAGAAGAGTCCTTTCTTGCTATTATTTTGCACTGGTTTTCTTGGTCAGCTACAGCTGCTTGGAGCAGATGGCCTCAATGGCCATGCAGTCTCTCACCTCAACTCCCCCCTGGCATCTCTGCAGGATCATCTAGTTGTGGCTTGAATGCCCAAGGGGCAGAATCCTCATTACTCAGTGGACATGCTTCCTTCACCCACACCTGCCCTGGAACTAGCCCCAGAGCGACCTGTGTTCCTGAGTCTGATTGCCTCACACCCAACATCTCCTGGGCCTGCAGCTAGAGCCAGCACCCTCTCAGGGTGCTGCACCCAGAGAAGCCCTTAGCTTTGGCCCTGGGCCCTGCAGGGAGAGTGGAGCGCTTGCTCACTCAGTGAGATCCAGAGGTGGCAGGACTACCCTGTCCCTTTCCTAGAGGGACGGGTACCACAGGCCTTCAGTGCAGTAAGGGGGCAGGCAGGTGGAGATGCAGCACAGACCACCTGTGTCCACAAGAGAGATCAGGGTGTCATCATGCAGCGGCTGCTCCCTGGTGACTTGGTCAGGCTGAGGTGGCTCATGACCCTCTGTCTCCTTGCAGCAGCCTGCCCCACCCTCCACCTGGACAGCTCCCTCCCAGGTAGGTCCTGCACACCTGTGGCCAGTGCACTCTACCCTGCTTCTCTCAGGCTCTTTCTGAGGAATGGGGGTTGAGGGAGACCCACTGGAGACCCACCATAGGATTTCGGGTGCAGACTGCACCTTCTCGGATGGCCCCCTGAGGTTGGCAGGGCAGTTCCATTCCTGTTTCACAAGGGAGCAGAGGCTGGCCCAGGTCGGTGTCAGCTTGTGCAGGGCAGAAGCAAAGCTGAGTCTAGGCTTTTCTGGCCTCTGTGGAGCTTGCTGCTGCATGGAAGCTGGGTTTCCAGGTGCCAAGCCTGAGGGGTCCTCATTCATGTTTCACGAGGGCTGAGGTCCTCCTCAGAGAGTAGATGCTTGGCTTCAGGAACATGGCCAGGGAACTCTGCCAGCAGGGAGACGGTGGCAGGCAGATGTGCTAAGCCATGTGAAGGCTGTGCGTCCACCTGGGGGGCAGGCTGTGGCTGCCCTGGGCCCACTGTTGGGCCTGCAGGGCCAGTGGATGGCAGGCAGGAGAGACTGCAACCTTGAAAGAGCTGGAGCCTCTGCTGGCCTCCTGCTTGGGGCTGCTAGTCAGCCATGCACTGATTAGCGCCCAGCATAAGGTGAGATTCACCCCATACTTCGTGCCCAAGAAGGACCAGCTGCATTGAGGACCTGCCCAGGTTCCCATGACTCTGCTGGCTCAGGGCATGGCCCAGCCCTGAAGGATCAGGGGCCTGGAGGGTCCTCAGGCCATGTGCAGCAGAAGGGACCATGTATGGCTGTGGTGCTGGACAAGGGGAACTCAGCAAGGCCCTTCTTGGAGAGGAAAACAAACTTGGAGGCTGGGTGGGGTGGTGCGGGTGCTAGGGCTCTGCTTGTTGGGGGAGATGGGAGTTAGGGTCATGGTTGGGGCTGTGTGCCAGTGGTCCCACCTCGTCCATCTCTGGGCCTCCCACACTGAAACAGTTAGCCAGGGAAAGAGGAGTCATGGTCTGGGGTAGGGGTGGGCATGGAGAGCGAGGGGCTGGATTCTCCCAAGGGGCCAAGGTGGTGCTGCCCCAGAGGCTGCCCCAGACCCTTGCTCTCCAGCTCCCGCAGCCAGGCCACCCCTTCTCAGCACAGCCCCTTCTCCTGCCTCACCTTTCAGTCTGGACCTCTGCTCCAGCCTGTCATCTTTCCCTGTCCACCAGGATTTGACTTGATGGCAGCCTTCGGCCTGGTGGAGAAGGAGCACGCCTCTATTCGAGGTGTGGCCATGGAACCCTCAGCCTTGGGCCTGACCCCGACCTTCACACTCTTCAAGGATGCCCAGCTGACACGGCGGACTAGGTATGAGGGGCCAATGGGGCTGGAACTGCAAGTGGGGCTGTGGGAAGTCAGGTGGGCAGAGGTGGGCACAAGAAGGAGACTGACCACATCCCTGGCTCCCAGAGCCTATTGGCCCTGGCATCTCTTCATCACACTGCTGACTGGTTTCACCTGTGTGCTAGAAATTCCCATCTCACAGTCAGCAGATCTCGTGTGGAATGGGGCCTGCCCCTCAGCATGATCTGCAGCCATGCATGTGTCTTTCCCCACCTGGCCTGGGGACTGGTCCCCTAGCTGCGTCCTGAACACGGTCCACGATGCTGCCAAGTTAGCAGCTGTAGCTGTAGAGGACGTGTGGTCCCCCTTTACCCCAACACCTTGAGTCACAGACCTGCACTGCGGTGCACGTGGCATGGTAACAGCAAGAGCAGGCGCTGACTTCCCAGATCCCCAAAGGACTGACAGGGCCACGTGCCAGAAATTACCAGTAGGGTCTAACTGAGGCATGCAGGGGCACTGGGGCCCGTGGCCCTGAGCAGGTGGCCAGAAGGGCCGGGAGGCTTCTCCAGGTCCCTGCTTTCTGGGCCACACAGATGCAGGTTGCAGCCAGCCTGGGGGCCCAGTGAAGAGGTTAGAGAGGCTGCATCAGGGTAGCACTGTCTGGAGATGCCAGGTCCCTGGGCCTCGTGGCACAGCTATCCACCACGGGCAGCGCCGCCTCCTGTTGCTGTGCTCGCGCTAGAGGCATCTCCTTCAGGGGTGGTCTGTTCTTTTATCCTTTTATTTTTATTTTTGTGATTCTAGGAGTGGAACCCAGGGGTGCTCTACCACTGAGCCACATCCCCAGCCCCTTTTTGTTTTTATTTGGGACAGAGTCTCACTAGGCTGCCATCAGCCTCCCAAGATTGTAGGCACATGCCACTGCACCCACTGTTTTTTTAAATAACCACATTTTATTTTAGATTTAAATATGCTTTAAATGGATGCATGGACACATAAACATGGTGCCTGTTAACGGGGCATGGTGTGGTGTTTCCATACAAGCACAGTTGTGAGGTCTTTGGGTCCAGTAGGCACTCCTGCCCCCTCACGCATTCCAACGCTCTCACCGCGTTGCGGAGGAGACAAACCTCTCTTCTCCCGTGATGGCGTGGCTCTCCTGCGGCGTGGATGTGGTAGCCAGCACTCGCCCTCTGCCTCTAGAGCCACTGCTATAGCTGCCGCAGGAGAGAGACCACCTCACTTCCCCAGGTTGCTGCGAACGAATGGCAGGCCCCTTCTTCCCTGTGGCCATCAGCCTTTCTCTGGGTCTAATCCCATGTGTCCTTCTCTGTCCTCAGCAGGTGGACGCTTGGGTGGCTCCCCTGTTGTGGGTGGTGCTACAGTGACCATGGAGGGCGGGATCCTCTGTACCCCGACTTCACCTGCTCTGGACCTGTGGGGACAGCAGCTCCCCCTGCTGCCCCGTGGCTGTGCTCAGCACCGTCCCACCCTGTGCAGCCCCTCCCCCCAGCACTGACCTTGCTGTCTGGGTAACAGCTGTTTTGCCTCAGGGGTGGCTTTGACCTGCACTTCTCAGATGATCAGCGATGCTGGGCACTTGTTCCTCTGCCTGCTGGCCATTTGTGTGTCTTCTCTCGAGCACGGTCGCTGACACCTGCCCCCTTTTGCCCCCATTTTCTTCGTAGGGTGGTGTGGAAGTGCTGCTGCAGAAGCGGTGGCCCCATCCCTCCCGTCTGGGCTTTCACCGCTGTTCTGCTGGGTGGGCAGGAGGGATGCTCCCACTGCCTGGAGCCCTGCTCTCCACCCCCTGCCTCTGGCCCCACCTTGCACCAAGGTGTTCGGCGTCCCAGCCGCCATTCCTCAGTCACCCGTCTCAGGTGCCGGCCACCAGCCTGCAGGCTACATGGTGCTTCGGTGCTGCCTGCTCTCCTTTTTGAGCTCCAGAAGGGGACAGAGGTTTCCCAGGTGTGCGTACCCAGCACAGACGCATCTGCACCATGGCAGCTGCACTGAGGGGCCTCAGTCCCCCACCTTCTCGTGGTGCGGTCAGGAAGGTCCCCAAGGAGGCAGCAGACAAGAGCCACCGGCAGAGAGTGGGGAGTGCTCAGGAGGAAGGAGCAGCCGTGCCACGGCCTTGGGGTCAGGGTGCTTAAAGCCTTGCAGGAAGTGGTGGGGCTGGGTCTTCCCAGCCCCTGGTTTTTATCCCAAGAGCACGTGAAGGCCAGGTAGGAGGCTGCAGGCTCTGGGGAGCACTTCTACTGTGTGACCAGAGACCCCTCCCCTGCCCCTCAGTGCACCTGGGTCTGCACAGGTCCTGGCCAGGAGCCCCCAGCCTGAGCACTAGGACAGCTGTGGTCAGTGGGCCAACTCCTGAGGGCAGCGCTGCCTATGTGCCTGTGGGCTCCCGGCCCTCAGGAGTAACCTGTGGATTCTCCTGGTGGGTCTTCTGCCACACAGGGACCCTGAAGCACAGGGCCTGGGTGAGCCCCTTCTAGGTGACCTTCACTGGCCAGGCCTCAGGGGAGGTAGAGGGCTGTGTCAGGCCAGGTGCCTTGAAGCTTCTTGGAGGGAATTCTATCCTTTACATACCCCATGTTACTCCTGGGGACACTGAGGCAGGGGAGACCCCAGCTTGGCCTTTAGACCATGGCCGTATGTACCCCCAGTCTGTGTTCTGGGGTACAGACGGTTGCCACACTCCGTCCACAGCTGGGAAGGCTGTGCATGCAGGCTCCACCATGATCAGCAGAGCAGCGCCAGGGTGAGGCTGGGGCTGCAGGGGGCCTGTGCCTGGGAGGCCTGGTCCAAGCCCAGCCACCCTCCATTCTGCTCACGCCCCCTCCCATGCCTCCAGCGACATCCACCCAGTGGCCCTGCCGCCTGAGCACACCATTGTCTTCCTTGTGCGCCTGCTCCCCGAGACACCCCGCGAAGCCTTTGCGCTGTGGCAGATGACGGCTGAAGACTTTCAGCCCCTCCTCGGGGTTCTTCTGGATGGTGACTGGGGCCCCGGGTCACCCTCGGCAGTTGGGAGGAATGGGAGCCCTGGCTTCACCCTTTCTTTGGTGCCCACCCTAAGCAAGAGCCAGGTGTCCTGAGCTTCCTCAGAGCTGCCCCCCTGCCCCTCACGGTGGAGACCTGCCAGGGTCCTGGGCATGGCCTTGGGTCCTGCAGCTCTCACAGTCTGTCCTTTCCCATCATTTGGGACCAGGGTGGTTGGGTAGGACAGAGCTTACCTGCTGCTCACCTCACCCTGGCAGCTGGCAGAAAGTCGCTGACCTACTTCAACCATGACCCCAGAGCTGCCTTGCAGGTGGCCACTTTCGACCTGCAGGAGGTGAAGAAGATCTTCTTCGGGAGCTACCACAAGGTCCTGGGAACTCTACTCAGCTGTACGGGCCCCGTCCCGCTTGCCAGCTGTCCCCATGTGCAGCTGCCTGCCCTGGAGCACCAGCACAAGTCCCTGAAAGTCAGGCGATAACCCACCTAGGTCCTCTGACCCTGACGTCCCTTTGTTTCAGTGGCCCTATTTTAATTTGGGTCAAAGTGCACTCTAGCCCTTCTCTTTGGGAGGCACCTGCTTTGGGAATTGCCCTGGAAGTCACATGGGATGTGGGTACCATCAGGACCCTGCCCAGGTCCCAGGTGGGCGACTCTTGTTCCACCTATTCTGACACCTTGGCCTGGCAGCTAGGCAGGTGCTGACCCTGCAACATCTACAGGTGCATGTGGCTGTGGGACACTCCAAGGTCAGACTGTATGTGGACTGCCAGAAGGTGGCTGAGAGGCCCATCGGAGAGGCTAGCTCACCCACCTCTGGCTTTGTCATGCTGGGGAGGCTGGCCAAGGCCAGGGGTCCCCGGAGCAGCTCAGCTACGGTGAGCCTGGTCTTTGTCCTGCTGGTCTGGTGAGGGCTGTCTCCAGGGACCTGCATCTGGCTGATGCCCCTGCTCCATAGTTCCAGCTTCAGATGCTGCAGATTGTGTGTAGTGACACCTGGGCAGATGAGGACAAGTGCTGTGAGCTTCCTGCATTGGTAGGTGGCCGTGAGGCTCTGGGTACCATCCCAGCCTTGAGTGTGTCCACCCCACACATCACAGAGGCTCAGGTAGACAGGCCTAAGCTTGTGCTGTGGGAGATCAGGGAAAGCTTCCTGGAGGAGGTGGCCTTTGGGGACCAGGGTGGTTGGGTAGGACAGATGCTGGGGGCAGGCCAGGAAGCCCCTACTGCAGTGGTTCTATTGGAGCCTGCTCCCCTTCTCGGTAGGCCCAGCAAGGTGCAGGCGGGCCAGGAATCCTCATCTAGCAAGGTGGAGGTCTCCCGGGCCTGCAGGAACCCCACACCCAAAGCCACATGCAGGGCCTTTGCTGGTCCCCTCAGTGCCCGGTACTGGCCTTGTCTATTCTGGGGGCCTCGGAGGGGAGTGGGAGGAAGCTACCCACCTGCCTGGGGTCTGTATGGGCACCTGGGAGGAGGCACCCAGGACCCAGCTGCTCTTAGAGGGACTCAGTGGCCTGAGTCCAGACCTACCTTGTTGCATTTCTGTCCCCGCCGTGCCCCACACAGAGTGTTTCCCTGGAGTCAGGCGTCTTTTCCGTGCTCAGCCCCAGGGTCAGATGAGAGCCAGGAGAGGGTCCATGAATGAGCAGTCTCCTTTCTTCCAGAGGGACGGAGAGACATGCCCTGTCTTCCCTTCTGCCTGCACCTGCTCTTCAGAGACTCCCGGGCCCCCAGGACCTCAAGGCCCTCCAGTGAGTCCAGTAGCCTCTACTCTGGGGGTGACTGAAACTCCAGGCCAAGGCATAGCCCTGGGGTGTGGCACCATTAACCAGCAGGACTCGAGGCTTGCCCACAGAGGGACGCCCTTCATCTGTCGCCTCTGCTGTGTCACTCCAGGCCACGAGCCCAGCCGTGGCCAAGCCCTTTCTCCCACTGGCTGGGCCTCCCTCCCCAAGCCCTGATCCTCCTGCCATGTCAGGCACGAACCCCTCTTCAGGCATTTCCTGAATGTCCCCTGTCTCCAGGGACCTGCTGGTGGTGGCTGGTAGGGTATGACGTGGCTAGCTGTGAGGGTCAGCCTCCAGGTGGCTCTGTTCTGGCTGCCCCAGGTTGGTATTCAGCTCACCTGCAGGAGGCAGGCGCTCCTGTGGGGCATGGCTTGAGAGGCCCCAGACCTCTGTCAGGAGCACTTCTTCAGGACGGTGTTGGGCAGATCTAGTTGCATACGGGGCTAGGGTTGGATCCAGAGACTCCTGATCCAGCCTGTGCCCAATGATGTAGACAGGGGTGCAGGGCTGGGTGGGGCTCGGGGTTGGGTGGAGCCTGGGTGGGGCTCGGGGTTGGGGTAGGACTGGGGACTCAGCCCTACTTGTGCTGTTGCAGGGCCTCCCTGGGAGGAATGGCACCCCAGGAGGACAGGGCCTCCCTGGGCCCAGGGTAAGTCTGTGAGGCCCAGGGGCTGTCTGGATCTTAACTCAGCAGCAGTTCATGTCACCCTCTCCTATAGAGAGAGGGTTCCCTGAGCTGCAGACAGGCCCGGTCCCCAATTCGGGGGTTGGCCTGGCCTCTCCTGTCACCTATGGGCCACCTGGACCTGATCTTGCTACTTAGTGAGCATTCCCTCTTCACTGTCCCCACGGGTAGGGTCAGCTCATGGCACAGACGAGGAAGCAGACTTGGGAGGTGAGGCCCCTGCCCAGTCGGTGGGCCCAGGCCTGTCTGGCTCTGAAGGCCGCCTTCTATTTCCTTCTACAGACACTTGCCAAAGGCCTCTGGACCAAGGGGGCGTAGGTGCCACAAGTACAGACTTGTTTGGCCCCACACACTGGTGCTGTCGCAGGCTCTGTGGGTGTCTGGCAGGGTCTGGCTCTGCAGAGGAGGCCGAAGATGGTGCCCCAGTGACAGCACCACACCTGTGTGGCTTGGGAGGCGCTCCCAGCTGGGCTCTGAGATGTTCAGAATGTTCAGTGCGCAGGGGCTGAGAGGCTGCCTCCCCCCAGCCCCACACCCTGCCTCCCACCCTGCACCTGCCTTGGCAGAGTGTCCTGGCAGGCTGGCCCGGTCCTCCCAATGAGCATGCGCCGCAGATGGTAGCCAGCTTGCATCAGAAGGGGGAGGTCGTGAACCTCCACGGCCCACGTCTCGCCCTGTGTACCACCAACCACGTGGGCCTGGTGCTGGGCAGGAGCACAGAGCTTGGGTATAGAAAGCCACACTGCCCCCTGGAGGCCAGGCGAGGCGGAGCAGCCTCTGTAGAGCAGGGGTGCACCCAGGGTGCCTGGCTGACACAGCGGCTGCCACCTTGCGTCCCTGTCCCTCATGTCTGCAGCAGGCAGCCTTTCCTGTGGGAAGCATGCCCTGGCTCCAGGGTGCCGCTGGCTTGTTTCTTCATGGGTGCTTCACATACTGTGCGCCAGCCTCACTCTGCGAAGGAGTCACAACTGTGTCCTTTGGCCTTGTTTGTGACAAGTGTTTTCACACAGATGTTCCTTTTTTTTTTTTGGTACTAGGGATTGAGCCCACTTTTACCACTGAGCCACACCCTAGCCCTTTTTATATTTTATTTTAAGACAGAGTCTCTCTAAGTTGCTTAGGGCCTCCTAAATTGTTGAGGCTGGGTTTGAACTCGTGATCCTCCTGCCTCAGCCTCCCGAGCTGCTGGGATTATAGGTGTGCACCATCGTGCCTGGAACAAGTAGCATTTTTATCATTTGAATCTTGCCCAGGAACTTGGCATCCTTCTGTTGTCCAGGTTTCTTTTGTGACTCTCCACGAGACTTTCAAGAAGTGGCTTATCTGGCCTGGGCTCTAGCTCACCCCAAACCTTGCATCTTTTCGTCACAGCTGTCACCAGGCCCTTCCCTCTCGCAGTGTCTGCCTGGCGGTTTCTGCAGGGCCGTCGTCTCTGAGCAACATTTTCCTATCCAGCTTTCTGAATGGATTGTCTGTGTGATTCTTGGTTTTCAGGTGGTTTTTCTTGACTCTCACTTCTGTTCTTGCCTAGTGGTATTGGTGAGCGCTGCAGAAGCCCACCCAGTGGTGTGCAGGTGTCTCAGCTTCCTCCTGGCGCTGGGGGACCCAGGGCTGCACAGTCCAGTGCAGAGTGCATGTGAAAGCCCGCATGTATTTTTTCATGTGATAGTAAAGTCCATTTACTCAAATTTATTGTGAGATTTGAAAATCAAGAGTGGACATGAGATGCTATGTGGTGCTTGCACAGTAGTCATGGGCACTGTCAGATACTTTTCTCTGGGAGATGTGTGTTATTTGTTTTGTGATGTCGCTGGATGAAGCCAGCTGGGCTCTGGGTCCTCACCACCAGCTTATGTTCTCTCTCTGACCCTGTGTTTACTTTTGTGCACTGATACTCATGACAAGGCCATGCAGTCTGCTTAGTAGAATGTGGAACATTCATATGCTAATTCAAAAAGTAATTTGAAAGGGTGCCCCTGCCCATTGGGGCCACTTGTCCAAGATGGGACTCCCAGACCAGAGGGCCCCTGAGGGGTTCAGAGCCTGGGCAGGTCTCCTCCCACCTCTCCTTTGCAGTTGGCTGCTGCGCTCTCTGGCTTCGCCCTGGTGATGTGATTGGCTGTTGTGATTGGCTTCAGGCTCCAGCTGCCTGGGTTGGGAGGCCAGGGAGCGGGGGCACAGAACTGGCTTGGCTCCCCTCTGTGTCTGCGGTCCTGGAGAAGCGACCTCCGCGGTTTGCGCTTGTAGACAGAGCTGTATGGGGACCCACCCAGGGGAGCATGAGGGCATCAGGGTGCTTCTGACCCTCTGGTGGAGGGGCCTGTGTGGCCTGGGTCTGGGCTGGTCAGGAAGCATGCCTTCTCAGCCCAAGCCCCCTGCCTGTGTTTCCAGGGAGAGCCAGGGCCACCTGGACAGACAGGACCTGAGGGCCCTGGAGGTCAGCAGGGGTCACCAGGGACCCAGGGCCGCACAGTCCAGGGACCTGTGGTAGGTGTACCCCACCCCCACCCACCTCCCCTCCACGCGTCCCTCTGTTACCCAGTTCACCTTCCCCTCCAGGGTCCACCAGGGTCAAAAGGAGAGAAGGGAGACCAGGGACTCCCAGGCTTACAGGTAGTATGGGCTGGGCTGTGGCTGGGCAGGGCCTTGGGCTGACCTCCTCCTCTGGGTATAACCTTTGCCCCTGCCTGGCCGGCTACCTCTGTTCCCTTCCAGGGCTACCCTGGCCAGCAAGGCACCCCTGGGAGAGTTGGCCTCCAGGGACCAAAGGTACTTGTTCTGGGCCAGAAGGTGTGTGCACTGGGAGAGAAGAGAGCCTGGGAAGGTCTTGGAGATGAAGGCTGGGGTGCGGGGGCAGGAGGGTGGGGCCCCAGCCCATACCAGGGTCAGGTGGGGGCAGCAGCTTGCGCTCTCTCCGGGGCAGGTGCGAGTCCCGCTGCCTTGGTGTGGCTCACCTGGCGTGCAGGCTGCTGCTGCTGCTGCTGCTGTGGGGCTGTTCCCATGGGAGGAGGTGTGGGCACAAGCCACACCCCAGCTCACCCTGCCTTTGCCCTTCAGGGAATGAGAGGACTAGAGGGACCTGCTGGCCAGCCTGGCCCCCCTGGCCCCAGGGTAGGCGTCACCTCCTCCACAAGCCCTCACCCAGAATGCTGAGGTCCTGGGAGCTGGGCAGGGCCAGTTTGGGAAGAAGGGATTGAACACTTCTGGCTCCTGACCAGGCCGACCCAAGAGGTGACCTGGAGGGGGCTTCTCTCCTGCACGAAGCAGCCACCACAGGGGCCTTCCTTACCTGTGGCAGAGATGCAGACCCACCCCTTCTCCACCCAACGCCACAGGACAGGGGTCACCAGGGCTCCTGGTTGGGCCTGCTAGGGATGGGTAGGCTAGGCTGGCTGTAGGAACCGGCCCCAGGCCCCCTGTCCCTCTGGGCAGACTTCCCAGCAGCCAGATCAGCAAAGGCAACCTGGGGATCCCTGGCCTTGAAAGGACCTTCTCTCCTGGGTCGAACCTCCCAGGGGGTCTTTGCTGTGAACTCAGTGCCTGGGAGACCCCTGAGGGGCAGTCTCAGGCTAGCTGCTGAAACACTGCTGGGCTCTCCCACAAGGACCCCCTCTGTGGAGTGGTTGTCCTCCAGTTTCTGGAGTGCATCAGGGAACTGATAGACAGCTGGGTGAGGGGCACGGGGGTCTGCCTAGGCACGAGGTGAGGTTTTCCTGGGTGCCAGGTTGGGGGCAGAACTGGGCCAGTTAGGGGAAGTGTCGAAACTTGAGGGCAGGGGGGTGGAGCTAAGGGCTATGGCCTCTACCAGGCAGTGGGGCTGGGGACACCGTTGTTTGGGAGCCAGGACAGAGGTGGGCAGATTCGCTGGGGGTGCCAGCCAAACCCTGTCTTCTGCATCTCTGCAGGGCTTCCAGGGCTTGGTAGGGGCCAGGGGCACCAACGGGGAACGAGGGCCTCCAGGAGCCGTGGGGCCTACAGTAAGTTCCCACCACCCGCCAGTCAGCTGAGGGGGCTCAAGCACAGCCTGTCCAGGTGTCCAAGCTCAGGACTTCCTGTGGGAGGCTGGCCTGCTCCTCACTTGGAGCCTGTGTGGAGCCAGTGGAGCTGGGCTGGTTCTGCCCTTCCCTGGCCTTGGGGCCACACTCAGGGAGAAGAGAACAGAGCAGCAGCCCTCTCTCAGGGGGCCCTCACCCCTGGGGAGCTGCTGCGGCCCACCTTATTTGGAGGCCGGGGCAGCCCCACAGGTCCCTTGGGAGGGCTCCAGGGCCTGGTGAGCTGGGGGAAGAGGGTGGTGGGCAGGCGCTCCAGCTCAGGCCTGCTCCAGCAGCTTCCGGTTGTTAGGGCCCCATCCCCAGCACTAAGGCCACAGCCAGGGCAGGTCCTTTGCAGCACAGTTCCAGCCCACTTGAGGACCGTCCCGCGGCAGGACAAAAAGCCCAGTTGCCTTCCCTGTGTGGCCGCTCCCAGGGTCTGGGGATTCAGCTCGGGCCACAGTGCCCAGGCACTGTCTGCACGTGTGGCACCAAGCTGCTTTCCTCTCCTGACTGCCTGTTCCCTCTGCGCCTCCTGCTGCAGGGGTTGCCCGGGCCCAAAGGGGAGCAAGGAGAGAAGGTGGGTGAGGCTGAAAGCCTGGGGTCTTCAGCTCAGCTCCTGCTATCGGGCCTTCCTGGGCGGCACTAGTTGGGGTCCCAAAGCCATGTCCTCCTTCCAGGGCGAACCTCAGTCCCTGGCCACCATCTTCCAGCTGGTGAGCCAGGCCTGTGAGTCGGCCATCCAGGGTGAGTGAGCCCTACCACCCGTCCTCACCTCCTACTCATGGCCTGCCCCACCCCTCCTCCCCAGCTCCCCCTCATGGTCTGCCCCCCCTCCCCAGCACATGTGCTGAGACTGCAGTCCTCCTTCCACGGAAGCACCAGGCCCCCGATGCCCATCTTGGTGGAGGCCGTGAAGCCAGGAGGGCATGGCCCCCCAGGGTCACCCAACAGGCTCCGCAAAGCCCTGCTTCCTGGAGAACAGGGGCGTGGGGGACACCACACTGAGGGCCGAGGTACTAGGTTCCCAGCCCTGAGGTAAAGTCAGGGCTGGTCCCTGGTTCTGGGGGTTTGTGCCTCTGGGGGTCTCCCCTTTGTGAGCAGTTGGCTGAATTCTGCCCTTGAACCTGACGGTGTCTCAGGGAACTGGGGGGAGCCACAGGTCCCATCTTTCCCAGGAGCTCTGAGGTCCCTCTGCTCTGGCCACAAGATAGCCCCACTTAGGGCTCAGGGACCCAAGGTGCTGCTCTCCTGAGCTTTGAGCACTCGCCTGGACCTGCTGCCCTGCCCAGGCACCCATCTTCCCTTCCACACAGAACCGTGCCATGACCTGCACCCCCGTCCCACCGCTCTCACCCACCTCCCCAGCACTCCTCCCCATGTCCAGGAGCCCTCCCATGGCTACCTCAACCCTTGCTCCTGGCCCATCCCTTCCTCTCAGGTGAGCCCTCAGCCCATGGTCAGATGGGCAGCCCTGGGCTGCAGGGGAACCAGCCTCCAGGTCCCCTGGAAGGCACAGGTGAGCCTGGGTCACAGCACTGGCCAGGGACACATCAGGAAGGCGGGCAGTGGGGTGAGGGGCACTTGGAAGGTGGGGTGGCCACCTGGGGGGCAGGAGCACTGGGCCCTACCACCAAGGTTGATGGTGATGCTCCTGGAGTGGGAGCTGAGCACAGGCCACAGGCAGGCAGGGGTGGGCCTCAGGAGGGGAGGCAGGGCCAACCTTGAGCCCAGAGTTGGGGCAGCAGGGGTGGGGGAGCCACAGAGTGCTAATTGAAGTAGCAGGAGTGAGTGGAGCCCTGGGCCTGGGAGGAGCCAGCAGTGGGAGTGGGTGGAGCCATTGGCCTGGGAGGAGCCAGCAGTGGGAGTGGGTGGAGCCGTGGGCCTGGGAGGAGCCAGCAGTGGGAGTGGGTGGAGCTGTGGGCCTGGGAGGGGCCAGGAGTGGGAGTGGGTGGAGCTGTGGGCTGGGAGGAGCCAGGAGTGGGAGTGGGTGGAGCTGTGGGCTGGGAGGAGCCAGGAGTGGGAGTGGGTGGAGCTGTGGGCTGGGAGGAGCCAGGAGTGGGAGTGGGTGGAGCTGTGGGCCTGGGAGGAGCCAGCAGTGGGAGTGGGTGGAGCTGTGGGCCTGGGAGGAGCCAGGAGTGGGAGTGGGTGGAGCTGTGGGCCTGGGAGGAGCCAGGAGTGGGAGTGGGTGGAGCTGTGGGCTGGGAGGAGCCAGCAGTGGGAGTGGGTGGAGCTGTGGGCCGGGAGGAGCCAGCAGTGGGAGTGGGTGGAGCTGTGGGCCTGGGAGGAGCCAGGAGTGGGAGTGGGTGGAGCTGTGGGCCTGGGAGGAGCCAGGAGTGGGAGTGGGTGGAGCCCTGGGCCTGGGAGGAGCCTGCAGTGGGAGTGGGTGGAGCCGTGGGCCTGGGAGGAGCCTGCAGTGGGAGTGGGTGGAGCTGTGGGCCTGGGAGGAGCCAGGAGTGGGAGTGGCTGGAGCCCTGGGCCTGGGAGGAGCCTGCAGTGGGAGTGGAGTCCTGACCAGGGTGAGCCCAGCTGGGAGGGTGTGCACCCAGGACACCTGGCTCCTGTGTGGAGCAGCTCCATGGAGGCCCATGGGAGGGCTCCTGGACAGGGGGAGGAGTGCTGGGGAGGTGGGTGAGAGCGGTGGGATGGGGGTGTAGGTTGTGGCACAGATGACCTCTGCCTTCCCTCAGGATGCAGGCACAAGGCAGCTGAGGAGCAGGACTTTGAGTAGTGCAGATGCTGGGCAGGGGAGGGAAGCTCCTGTGGGCCCCAACGCCTTGTTCCCTCTCAACAGACCAACCAGAGAGTGACTCGGAGCTCTGCTCTGCCCAAGGCCCAGCAGCACCTGGTGTGTGGAGAGCCAGGACGCTGGGATTCTCGGGGAGACCAGAGCCAGGCAGACTGGGCTGCTGAGTCCTAAGCTGGGGCTCGGCTCTCCAGGGCCCCTCCCAACGGGTCTGCTCCTGTCTCCTGCCAGGACATTCCTGGTGCTGCCCCAAGTAACCCTACACCTCCCACCCCGATGGCGACATTAAGCAGAACCTGTCCTGAAGAAGCCCAGGAGAACCTCAAGAAGAACCTGGGGCAGAAGCAGAGGGAGCCAGAGGCTGCGGCACATCCAGGGCCTCTCTCTGTAGCATTTCCAAGTTCAGATAAAGGCTGATTGCTTATCCATCAGCTCGAGGTGCCTGCTCATTGCTGAGGCCGGGTCTTCCCACCCCACTTTCTGGCTCACACAAAACCCGGCCAGGATTCCCACCCTGCTTCTCAGGCCTCCTCAAAGCTCATCCTGTGGCCACCCCTCACCCAAGACAGCAGATGCTCACCAACACAGTGGCCAGACGGTCGCCTAGAACTCCAGTCCCGCTGGGAGTGAGATCCAAACCCTCTGCCTGCAGCTCCAGACGTGCAGGTTTCCTGCTGTGCCCACCCATGGTCTTCACCTGCGCTGTGCCTTCTGCTGGGCTGCTCCCCAGGTGGTCGCCCCACTGCAGCGCCCTCCTCACAGCACCCCACCCCAGCCCCCGTTGCATCCAGATATGATGCCA